CTCCCAAACTTTCCTCTACCCTCCTCCCCTGACCCTTACATAATGGCTCCCTGATAACTAGCGATCGGTAATGTATGAAACTCTCATTTGGCATGGACTAGTGAGATATCTGGAAATGGGTTAAGTAGAAGCTCATATGCTATTGAATGATCATAGATAAATGTAGAGTAGGGTTAACTAATGGGGATTAGTTGGCTCTGTTGGCTGATCAGCTGGTTTGTGATGCAGAGTGTTGCTAACAGTGTGGGTTCAGTTCCTGCACCAGCTGAGATTACAATGAAGGACTCTCCTCCTCAAGCTGTCCCCTCGCCTGAGGCATGGTGCCCCTTGGGTAAACTCTTTACCGCTCACCTCTCTTTAGTGCGAGAGCAACCCTGTAGTTTGCAGGGACTGTAGTGACTTTACTATTTATTATCCAATACGATTGAAACCTAATTACCATCATTTTCACAATAACCTTGGATTGTTAAAATAGCTTTGCAATGTCATTGGATTGGAAGACAAATTAAAGGAATGTTTTCAGTATTCATCAATGCAATGTCACTTCTGAGAGCTTCACTTTATAACGATGAATTTCTAGCAGTGTCTGTGCTATCCATATAGGTGATGTGGCTACTGTTAAAGGTGGGAAGGTTAACCAACCACAGTCTGCTGAAGAGGCAACTGAAGCAACAGAAGCAACAGAAAACAGTGCGGGTGATGTGGAGTCAGCATTGACCCGGCCTAGTGCCTATACAGAGCATGTGTTCATGGACCCAGCGCAGACGGAGGATAGAACTCAGCTCAGGTAAAGGAAGTTGTCAGTAATACAGCTAACGTACCATACAGTAATTAAAAGCCATTATCCTGAAGGAGATGAGAAATGAGATGCTGAAGTGAATTTATGCAAGCCATTAAGGAATTGTTTACTCTAAAAGGGAGGCGATGGCCTAGTGGTATTATAGCTGGACTGTTAATTCAGAGACCCAGATAACATTCTGGTGGAATTTGAATTCAATAAATATCTGGAATTAAGAATCTAATGATAATCATGAATCCATTGTTGATTGTCAGGAAAAACCTATCCCCTTTAAGGAAGGAAATCTGCCATCCTTACCTGGTCTGGCCTACATGTGACTCCAGACCCACAGCAATGTAGTTGACTCTTAACTGCCGCCTGGGCAATTAGGGATGGGCAATAAATGCTGCCTAGCCAGCGACACCCTCATCCCGTGAATGAATAAAGGTAAAAAAGTAAAGACCATAGAATACAGTGAATCAGTGATAAATGGGCAACCGTTACATAGTATGAAAATATAAATTCATTTGGGTGGAACTGTTGTGAGATGAAACCTTTACCATAGAATGATCATCAGTAACTAACCCTAACCCTAACATATTGTGCTGTGGTAAGTAACATTGTGGTTCTCTGCCTTAGCCTCTACAAAAGCTGATCTTGATTAAGCTGCCTGTTATACAACTCTTCCATTTTATATCAGTTGTTTTAAACTGTCACCCAATTGCACAATTATCCTTCTTCGTTTTTCCATAGGTTTATTGCCAACTATTCTCTTGACAATGAAGGCAATGTTACCACAAAGGAGTTTCAACAGATGAGATGTGAAAGAACTGTGTAAAGATGCTGTAAATCAGGAACAAAAACCGAATTTGCTGGAAAAGCTCAGGTCTGGCAGCATCTATGAAGCGAAATGAGTTTACGTCTCGGGTCCGGTGACCCTTCCTTGGAACCCAACCTGATCACAGATGCTGCCAGGTCTGCTGAGCTTTTCCAGCAACTTCTGGCTTGTTCAACAGATAAGACTTTGACTGGATGTGGGCTAATGATGGTCCTAGGAGCTGGAGAAAGCAGCAACGTCAGGGCCTGTCCCGGGACACATGGGGGGCAGTCTAAGAATACAGATAGGCCCTTTAGGACTGAGATGAGTAGGAATGTCTTCACCCAGGGCCTGACCAATTCACTGCCACTGAAAGTGATTGAGGCACAAACATTGAATGTTTTCAAGAAGGAGTTAGATATTGTTCATGAGCTAAGGGGATTAAAGGGTGTGGGGAGAAAGCAGGAACAGGGGACTGAGTTTGGATGATCAACCGTGATCCATATTGAATGGCAGAGAATAGCCTACTCCTGTTTCTATTTTCTATAGTTCAAAGTGACCGATCAGCTTGAACCTGTTGAACTTCTGTATTGATTCAGAGCATAATATTAAGATTATTCAAGCCATCAATAAATCATCAGACTCCTCTTTTTCAGGTTTGGTCTTGAACCTAAACTTTCATCTATTTGAAAGATTCAATACTTTGGCTCGTTTCTGTGGTTGAGTCGGAGTGAATGTTCTGAATCTGTGTTGCTGTTCTCCTGTTAAAGTTGTTGGTTGGGACAGAGAACTCCATAATCCAGGGAGACAGTATCACTCCTGAACTGCAGGAAGCAAGCAACGTTGTGACCATAAGTAGAATGAATGGCAGCCTCCACTATGATATGCTTAAGCTCAGGTTTAAGGACATATAAAGAATCAAATTAGGAGCAGGAATAGGCCATTTGGCCCATTGAGCCTACCCTATTATTTGGTAAGATTATGGCTGATCTGGTTGTGGCTTCAAGAACACATTCCTGTTTATCCCTGATAACTTTGATTCTGTCTGCTAATAAAAATATTCAATGACCCTTCCTCTTCTCGAGCGTTCTAAAGACTTATGACCCTCCGACAGAGAGAGAAAGTCCCTCCTAATCCCAGGTTTAAATGGGAGACCCCTCATTTTTAAACTGCAAGCCCTAGATCTAGGAGATGGTGGCATTGTGGTAATGTCTCTGCAGTAGTAATCCAGAGGCCAGGGCTAATGCTCAGGAGACATGAGTTTGAATCCCGCTGTGGCATTTGAATTCAATAAAAATATGGAATAAAAAGCTAGCAAGTAGTGGGCATGTAACCTGTCAATTGTTGTAAAAGCACATCTAGTTTACTAATATCCTTTTTAGAAAAGAGAATCCACTGTCCTTACCCAGTCTGGCTTAGGTGGGACTCCAAATGCACAGTAATGTGGTTGACTTTTAACTGTCCTTTGGGCAATTAGGGATGGACATTAAATTCTGGCCTGACTAACAACGTCCACAAACCATGAACGAATTGAATAAAAAAAAAAAAAAAAATCCACAGTCCCTCACTCTTCATTCCCGTTAGAATTCTGTCCTTTCCAACTGTATACCATGGACGGTAACACAGTCTCTACTCTGTTCTGAGAGATGCTTCAACACCAGATCTGTTCAAAGTCTATCGGACAGAAAACAGTTTGATTTAGAGAAAACCTTACCTATTTTGCCTTTGCATGAATTCCCAGTCTGATCATCTACTAAACGGAAAATACAGATGGAAACTTGACATTTCTGCATTTGTTTTTCTGTCTGCCATTTGCTGCTTAATTGTTCACCTCTGTGGCCACCACAGATCAGATATTTGTCTCTTGGAATCTAATAAATGCCATAATTAGAAAACCAATCACCAGGTGAGCCTTGAAGGTGGCACAGTGACTCAGTGGTTAGCGGTGTCACAGAACCCTCACAGCGCCAGAGACCCAGGTTTGATTTCAGCCTTTGGAGAATGTGTAAAAACTCCATACAGGCAGACATTCTCCCCAAGTATGTGTGGGTTTCCTCTGCGTGCTCTGGTTTCCTCCTGTAGTCCAAGGATGTGCAGGTTAGGTGCATTGGCTGTGGGAAATGGGTTACAGGGATTGGGTCTGGGTGGGATTCAGGGGGTCAGTGCAGACTTGATGAGCCAAATGGCCTTTTTCTGCTCTGCAGGGATTCTATAAACCTCATGCATCTATATTTATCACCTAAAGCTTTGCATTTACAGAGGGGTTGTCTGGTTCAGAGGTGGCCACATAATATTCCACAATGTATCACCTGAGTATCATTTTGAAATGTTTACATGTTAAGAGAGCACCTTCTTCAATGCAGGCTGTAGGACAGACTGCAGCCTCTGTCTTAGCAATCAGGAATGAGATACACATCCCATTGTGTCAATGCAGGTTACTCACTAATTTAAACCATTTCACTTGAGCATGTCTAAATCAGGAACACTTTTTCCAAAAGGCAGACCTCTTTATTTTTTTTAAAAAAAGCTATTTGTAGAAGACCGGAAAAAGGCAAATGCTTTGCATGGAATGAAATTCTCTACACTGCAACTCCTTTTTCATTTTTTAAACTGCTCCTGTATATTTGTGCCTCTTTTTACATATTACCTAAACAAGTGCGAACTGCTGCATTTTGCTTTTAGGGAAAATGGTCAACCCAAGGAGGAACCAAATGCTGGTCAGTCAGTACAGGAAGCAAATAATCGCAGCCCCAATGGATCGATTACAAGTGCTGCCCCGACCATGTGGTTAGGGGCACAAAATGGCTGGTAAGTTAAGATTGTGTAGTCATTTCAGCTAGAGTTCTGGTTCCCTGTCCCGTTGAGGAGGAATTACAAGACGAGGAAAGACTTGAGTCACTTGGACAATCACACTTTGTGGATGGTCACCCAAGTACGAGGGAATAGTGCAACCATTGGTTCAGGAGCTGGGAAGGTGTGATCCTCCTCCCTTTCCCTGCCCTCACTCGCCTTTGTCCTGAGATGCCATGTTGATCCTGGAGCTGGGCCTCAGAGCAATACCAGTAGCAGCCACTGCTCTTGGTGGCGCTGTTAGGCTCCAGAAGCTACCAGCTGAGATTTCCACCCTTCACGTTTACCAAGCAGCCTCCTTTAATCAGATGTAGGTTGGAAAAGGAAGAACTTCCATTGATATACCTCCTTTCAGTACATTCCATAGAGCTTTACAGCCAACTACATATTCTTAAACTGCTGCAGTAGTGACTACATTTTATCTAAAGTAAGCTCCACCTCACAGCATTGAGAGAATGACCAGATATTCTCATTGTTGCGTCATTGAGGGATAAATTTTGGATAGGACACCAAAGAGGATCTCCCCACTCTCCTTTTGAAAATGCTGTGGGATTGTCCATCTGAGAGGTCAGATAGGCCCTTCTGTTTGCATCTCATCTGAAAGCCAGCCCTCCTGACAGCACAGTACTCCCTTTTACACAACCAGGAACTGTTGGCCTAGACAATCTACTTGAGTTTCTGGAGTGAGACTCAAATCCACAACTTTTGACTCAGGACTGCCCAGCCATTGTTTTTATTGTTTCTGGGATTAAATTGTAACGTATCACTCGGATTAGTTTTCTCATCTTTTGCACCATCTGTTTTTTAGTTGTGGGAGAGACGTAACTGTTACACTCTGATCAAAACTGAGCCTAGGTCCCAGAGGTGGTAGGATTCCCACGCTTTGACATCCGGTTAATTTTAAAATCTACATCATACCCTGCATAATCTGGTCTTTAATCTGTCTTTAACTTGACTTCTAGATGAAATGAAGGTGACTTGTTCTGGCATGATCTTAGGTTGATGCTAAATTATAGAACACACCTCCACAGCATTTATCTAACTGCAATTAGCCTGATCGGTTACTCTGTTTTCAGTCGGATTGTTTTTGTGAATGTTTATTTAAGAGATCTAACCCCTATGTTGTCCATCTTGCTAGCCTTTATGTTCACTCTGCTGTATCCAATTGGAAGAAGTGCCTGCACACCATCAAACTGAAGGATGCCGTCCTGAGTATTGTGTAAGTTTTTGTAACGAGCTGCTTGGTCAAGTCATATAATCTGTAGTGATTAGTTTCTTCTCTGTCCCTGGAAACAGACTGCCAGTGTTTGCCATGATTAGAGATTATTGTCTGATTGGGTAGGAAGACCTTGAGGTGATTTAGTGCCAGTGTGGGTGGTGTCCCTATCTCTGGGCTAGAGGCCCTTGGTTTGAGTCCAGGCCACAGGAAATATATTTGTAACCCAGCTAAACAGGTTGATGTCAGCCTGTGAAATCCTTCCAATCCAATGATAATGGCTAGGCCGTTTAGGACTGAGATGAGGAGATATTTCTTCACTCAGAGCGAAGAGCCAGTGGAATTTTCCGGCACAAAGTGGTTGAAGCCAAAACGTTGATTGTTTTAAAGAAGGAGCTACATCTTGGGGTTAAAGGGGAGAAAGCAGGAACAGGGGACTTAGCTGGATGATCAGTCAAGATCACATTGAATGGCGGAGCAGGCTGAAGGGGCTGAATGGCCTACTCTTGCTCGTATTTTCTGTGTTTCTGTTTTCAATGCACCTGATGGCAGGAAGAGTGTTTCTTGGTCAGCTATCCCACACGAGATAATGGCAAACCACTGCATACTTGGCTCACAAGCATGGACCAATCCAATGGAAGTCCATACCCCAACTCTTGGAAATGAGGATGGGAGGTAGGAGGTCGTTGGGTGGTAATCTCTTTTGTTCATCTTTAGGTCATGACATTCATGTACAGGACTAAGGAAGAGAGCTGGTTCAATGGGGAACAGGTAGACGTTTGACTTGTCTCTCTCCACCAATCGCATTGCCTTCACTAAAGGGAAAGCCTTTATTTAAATATCACTGAGTCAAGATGCTTTTATATTGGAGTGATGCACTACCTGTAGGTGTGTAGTTCTTCTAGTGTTATCAGTAGAGGTTAAACTGACCTCTTAGTCCCACCAAATTCTGGAAAGAATCCAGATGTTCTTGTACTTAACTGTATACTTCAGAATCTCCAACATTTCACTGAATATGTCCTATCGCTTTACTAACCTCCACCTCCTTCTAACAGGGGATATACTGCATTGCCTGAATTAAATAAAGAACATCAGGGAGCAATAAAAACCTTCTTGCTGTAGAATCCAGTGACATTTCTAGGTCCGAGTCCTCATCCACTGAAAATAGATGGCATTTCTTTTTTAAACGAGCAATTATTTCAAGTTTAGAGCCTTGGCTGTACTTGGCTGCTATTGTCAGGTCACTATCCTCTCACCAGAGCATGAAACCACTCATGAATTTTAACCAGGTTATTGTAGCTGACCTCTGGGAGTGGAGACGGGATGATTGCTTGTGTAATCATGCTTGGATTACTATGCTGCAGATTCTCATTCGAGTAAAATTAATGATCCATTCATGTTTGCAGACATGTGAAGGGGCGTGTTTTGGTGGCACTAAATGATGGAACATTGGCTATATTCCACCGAGCTGAAGGTTAGTACATTTCCTTTTTAAAAAAAAAAAAAAAAAAAAAAAAAAAGTTTCTGGACAGATAGTTGTAAAATTCTTAATCCTGTTCTACTTTTATCTAATAACATACTGGTACTTGGTCTGCAAGTTCTCTGTGGATCATTTAGAAGGAAATGCATTGTATGTTTGATGAAATTCCTGTACTTGGTACTTGTTGTTCTGCTCAAGTTATATGAACAGTGAACACAGGAATTGCATCTCAACATGCTAACGATGTATATAGCATAGCCCCTACTGTGTAAGGGGTAAGTTTCCATCTTCAGTGCTCCCAGAAGTAACAATGTACAGAGATGACTCATTGACCTTTCCTGCCGAAGTTCAGCTGGTAAGTATCCAGTTGCGCCTCCTTTCAGAATGGATGAGTACAAGGCAGGGACTCTCAAGTCTCCTCACTTAATATGATATTTGACTCTTTAATCCTGTCATTGTGGCTAAAGGACTAAAAACTAGTCTGTTTCACATGAATTCAACGAGTTTAACTTGTGCAATAACTAGTCAACGTGACTCAAACAGCTGTCTGATGGAAGAGAATTTCTCATGCAATGTTCAAAAATGCTATTGGCATTTTAAAAAATATAACATTACAAACTAATTTGCTCCCAGTCACTGTTCCAGAGGTATTTATAGAATCATAGAATCCCTACAGTGTGGCAGCAGGCCATTTGGCCCAACAAGTCCACACCAACCCTCTGAGGAGTATCCCACCCAGACTCGCCCTATCCCTTGCAATCTTGCATTTTTTTTTTCCCCGCCATGGCTAATCCACCTAACCTATATATCCCTGGACACTATGGGCAATTTAGCATGGCCAACCTACCTAACCTGCACATCTTTGGACTGTGGGAGGAAACCGGAGCACCCGGTAGAAACCCACGCAGACATGGGGAGAATGTGCAAACTCCACAGAAAGTCGCCTAAAGCGGGAATCGAGCCCAGGTCCCTGGTGCTGAGAGGCAGCAGTGCTAACCACTGAGCCACCGTGCTGCACATGTGGAGAAATGATTGGGCTGGGCGGACGTTGTGAGGAAAGGAAAATGCTGCTATTATACTTTAGTCAAGGTTTTTTTTTAAATACAGAAAGTACTGAATTTCACAATCATTATGTTATGATAGCAATTTACTTGCCATTTTGCTGGCTAACACATTACTTCGGCAACTAAAGGGTATCTCAGGTCCTGGTGTTGTTGATAAGGACCTATAATGACAAGGATGATCTGACAAAAGCACAGGTTAAACCAATGGCTGAACTAAAGTGAAGGATTCTTTGTTTCTTTTTGGGCACAATGAGACTCCTTATATCCTACTGGGCAAGTCGTAACATTGTCAAACTAATGCTATCCCTTGAAGGATCTCTCAACTCCTCCGCTTCTGAATGATCTGACTGCCTATGCAGCATCTAGTATTGGATGAGTAGGAAGTTCCTGCAGTTAAATATTAGGAAGTCAGAAGCCATTATTTTGAATCCCTGTTCCACACTCCATTCCTTAGCCACTGATTCAATCCTTCTCCTGGAAAAGAGACTGAGATTTTGTTCGCAACATTTGATGCATTTGATCCCAAAATAACCTTCCGACAGTGCCTTTACTAAGACTGCCTGTTCCTACCTCCGTAACAGTCCCTATCTGCTCTGATAAAGAGTCACCTAGACTCAAAACGTTAGCTTGTTCTCTGTTTATGGATGCTGCATGACCTGTTGTGATCTCCAGCATTTTGTTATTTTCAGCCCATTTACTCCCCTGCCTTTTTCCACCTCTGTAACAGGCCCCACCAGCTCCCCTGTCTGAGTTCCTGTAAAACCCTCGTTCTTGCCTTTGTTACCTCGAGATCCAACTATCCTAATGCACTCCAGCCTGGTTTCCTGCAAATTTAAGATCATTCAAAGCTCTGCCCATGTCCTAACTCAGTAAATTCCATTCCCCTATTGCCTCTATGCTGACTGACCTATGTTGGCTTTAGAGTTAAAAACAACTTTAAATTAAAGCTTTCATCTTTGATTTTAAGTCCCGTCATCATCTCACTCTTCCCTGTATCAATAATCGCCCAACAGCACAACCCTCCAACATATGTGGGAAGCTCAGAGGGATCTTGAGGTGGTTATCCAGGATAAAGTTAATAGGCTTGTTAAGAAGGCATAATGGATGCTTACCTTTTAACAGTCGTGACATAGATTGTAAGAGGAGGGAGGTTATGTTGGAGCTGTACAGGACTTTGGTTAGGTCACAGCTAGAGTACTGTGTGCAGGCCTGGTCACTGCACTACAGTAAGGATGTGATTGTACTGGAGGGGGGTGCAGAGGAGATTCACCAGGATGTTGTCTGGGATGGAGCATTTCAGCGATGAAAAGGGGCTGGATAAGCTCGGGTTGTTATCTTTTGGAGCAGAGAACTTTGGTGAGGGGGGAGGGTGACACGTGTTAAGAGGTGTGTAGCAGATTATGAGGGGCATGGACAGGGTGGAGAGGAAGCAGCTGTTTCCCTTAAGAAGGGGGTGTAAATTTAAAGTGAAAGGCAGGAGATTTAGAGGGAATTTGAGGAAAACCTTTTACCAGATGTGGAATGCAATGCCGTAGAGGTTAGTTAAGGCAGGAAACATCAACCTTTTAAATAGTACTTGGAAGAGCACTTGAAATGTCATAACCATTCGAGGCTATGAGCCGAGTGCTGAGATGTGGGACTAGTGTAGGTAGTAAGGTATTTTTGCCTGTGCAGGCTCGATTTGCAAAAGGTCCTCTTCTGTGCTGTATGATTCTGTGATATCTTCACTCCTGTAAGTTTTGCTATCTTGTGCATCCCAAATAATCATAACCACCATTCGTAGCTGTGCTTTCAACTCTCCATACCTCCCACCTCTCTTCCTTTTAAGATGCATCTTAAAACCTACACCTTTGGTTAAACTTCTGGGTTATTTGACGTAACCCCTTCTGATGTGACAACTAAGATATTGTTTTAGTTTGTTCGGTGAAGCGTCTTGGGAAGGTTTGTTAGGTCGTAGGCACACTATGATGTTGTTGCATAAAACAGGAAAACTTAAGTCTGGGGAAAGATGCTCCAAAAATGTAACTGGAAAACATTGTTCAGTGAGAAATGGACCGGCTTTATCACCAGTCTTGAGAGAAGGGATAGTGGATCTGAAATATTTGAGAACATGGTCAGTTGGAGAATGAGGTCAGCACTGCTGCCTCCCGGCACCACGGACCTGAGTCCAGTTCCACCCTCCGGCGAATGTCTGTGTGGAGTTTGCACGTTTTCCCCCTGTCTGCCTGGGTTTCCTCCGTGTGCTCCGGTTTCCTCCCACAGTCCAAAGATGTGCCGGTTAGGTGCATTAGCCATAATAAATTGCCCGTAGTGTTCAGGGATGTGCAGGCTTGGTGGGGTAGTCATGGGAAACGCAGAGTTACGGGGATAGAGAAGCAGGGTGAATCTGGGTAGGATGCTCTTTGGAGGATCAGTATGGACTCAATGGGCTGAATGGCCTGCTTCCACAGTGTACAGATTCTAAGATTCTATTCCTCGTCCAATATTGGATTGACCTTTTCCTGCCCTCTGGTGTCTTGAAGACCAGAGGATACTTCCTTGGTTTACGTAATTGAGGAAGGTTGCTTTCCCATCATCTCTGTTTTTTTTTTTAGCTGATTTGGTGAGACCACAAAATGCAGAAGAGGCTTCCTGTTAGCTGAACGGAGAATGAGATTTCCACACGCTCCTGCTGTCTGCCTCCAGTCAGTGTATTTCAGCCTCCGTGATTATTAGGTTAGGGATATAAAACCTGCGAGCCTTTGTCAAATGCCAAAGGTCAAATGCTCATTAGACAGAATCCAAACATGTTCGCTTCTAGTTAGTCGTCTTCCGACTCAAACTCCAACCCCACTGAATAATCTTTCCCTGCACATACACACCCAGACCCAGCCTGGTACTCCCCCAATTATATAAAGACAAAACACTGTTGATGCTGGAAATCTGAAACAAACAAGGCAGAAACTCAGCAGGTCTGGCAACATCTGTGGAGAAAGAGGTATAGTTAACATTTTGTGTCTCGTCTAACTTCAGAACTTGTGGGGGGCAGATCAGAGTTCTGCACAAGTGCCATATCGGACTTGAAACGTTAAACCTGTTTCTCTCTCCACAGTGCTGTCAGACCTGCTGAGTTTCTACTGTGATGTATGTTTGAGTTGCCCAGTTGTCCCTGAATTATCACCTGTTCCCTAGTTCCGTTTGCTCTCGGCGCATCCCTGCCAGACCCAATAGATGATCAGTCCCTTTTTCTTCTTGAATTAATATATGAAGAATAATAATGGGGAAAAAAATGTAGTGTGACAACATATTGTACAGAACAACTGCAATCATCCCCTGGTTACAATCGAGTTGACCTTGTCTAGGGTGTATTCTCTCAATGAGCACTTACAGAAACTGTCAGAGAAAGGTAAGATGTGGCGTACCTGAGCCTGGCCTAGTGCTGGATCTTTTGCTACACTTCCACCTGGCCTATAGCAGGGGCTTGTTGGACGAAGCATGAATGTTCAACCATTCACCATTTGTGAAGATAAGTCAATTAATCGAGGCTTACTGTGAGGGGAATGGGTTAACTAACAGTTTGTGAACGAATTCTAATGTGGAAACTGGTGACAATAAAAACATTTTCCTCTGAAAATGCTCCAAACCCCATTGTGTTTATTGGATCCATCATTATATGTAATAGATAGTCAGGAATAACATTGAGATCTGTTTCTAAAGAAGAGATAGGGGGCAGCCCAATGGGTCCTTGTTGTTGACAGTAATAGAATGGATTCACTTTTGTCTGAATAGATGGTCAGTGGGACCTGAGCAATTACCATCTCATGGACCTACGACGTCCAAACCACTCCATCCGTTGTATGGCTGTCGTGCACGACAAGGTCTGGTGCGGCTACAAGAACAAAATCCATGTCATCCAGCCTAAGACGATGCAGATTGAGGTGAGTTTGTTCGTCATTGGATAGACATAGGGCAGCAAATAACACGGTGTTGTAGACCAACTAAATCCTGCTGTTAGTTGTCTTTCCGAAGAGTGCATAGGCCTATACACACTGGAGTTTAGAAGAGTGAGAGAGGTCTGACTGAGGTATATAAAATGCTGAAGATTGACCAGTAGATGTAGAACTATGTTTTCCCTTCAGGGGCAATCCAGAATGAGATGTCATAATTTTAGGATAAGGGGTAGCAGGTTTAAAGTAGAGATGAGGAGGAATTACTTCAATTATTTCAATTGTCATGAAAGCCCATCTATTTCACGAATGTTGTTCAGCAAAGGAAATTTGCCGTCTATTACCCATCTTACCTGTGTGTGACTCCACACCCACAGCAATATGGTTGATTCTTAATTGCCCTCTGGGCAATAAATGCTGCCCCAGCCAGTGAGGTTCACATCCCATGAATGAATAAAGAAAAACCCCAGTAACTTAGCCACAACTGCAGTTAGAAATATAGAAAATAGGAGCAGGAGTAGACCATTCAGCCCTCTTTTGAACCTGCTCCATTCGATGTAATCCTGACTGATCATCCAAACTCAGTACCCCATTCCCATTCCCGCCCCCCCCCCCCTTATTCTTTGATCTCTTTACTCCTAAGAACTATATCTAACTCTTTCTTGAGAGCGTTCGTAATTTGGCCTCGACTCTTAAGAACCAATAGTGCAACAGTAAACAGGATTGGTACTATCGAAACTCAAGCTATTTTATACAGATCCTGACAGAGAATCTGAAGGTTATCAAGGTATTTGTCGTTTATATTCTTGTACCTGTGGAATTGTTTTAACGTCAAACACTTACTGCATTCCCTGTTTGTTATTCTTAACACAGAAGTCTTTTGATGCTCACCCACGAAGGGAGAGCCAAGTACGCCAGTTGGCATGGATTGGAGATGGGGTTTGGATATCAATTCGCCTGGATTCCACATTGCGCCTTTATCACGCACACACACATCAGCACTTACAGGATGTAGACATCGAGCCATACGTCAGTAAAATGTTGGGTAAGATTCTACATTTCTGGATGCAACGGTTATCCTAATGTCCTAGGCATTGAATTGTGTTTTATGCATTAGCTGTAATGGTATTGTCACGTTAACCAGGAAAGATGTTGTGAAACAGGAAAGGGTTCAGAAAATATTTGAGGATGTTACCAGGTTTGAGCTGAAGGGAGAGACTGAATAGGCCGGGCCTATTTTCCATGGAGTGTTGGAGGCTGAGGGGTGACCTTTTATAAGAGGTTTATAAAATCATGAGGGGCATGGATAGGGTGAATAGCCAAGGCCTTTCCCTGACAGGGGAGTCCAAAACCAGAGGGCATAGGTTTAAGATGAGAAGGCAAAGGTTTAAAAGGGACCTAAGGGCTAGCTTTTTACATGGATGATAGTAAAATGCAGGGTAGTTTGATCTTAGAGTGGAATTATAAGTCGGAACAACATCGTGGGCTGAAGGGCCTGTACTGTGCTGTACTGTTCTATGTTCCATGTTCTTTTTTATGCAGAGGGTGATGCATGTGTGGAACAAGCAACCAGAGGAGGAGGTGGAAGCTTTAAAAGACATCTGGATGGGTATATGAAAAGGAAGGGTGTAGAGGGATAAGGGGCAAATGCTGACAAATAGGATGGATTAATTTAGGATATCTGGTTGGCATGGACAAGTTGGACTGAAGGGTCTGTTTCCCTGCTGTACAACTCTGATTCTGTGATGATCCTACATCTTGTGTGTTCTCGTGAACTGATGTTACTCGTGACTCTATTTACCTTCGATTAATTCTGGAATCCCCTGCTTTGATTGACAGGTACTGGCAAATTGGGATTCTCTTTTGTGCGAATCACAGCTTTGCTAATTGGTGGAAACCGCCTTTGGGTGGGAACAGGAAATGGAGTGGTTATCTCTATCCCATTGACAGAAAGTAAGTGAACAAAGTTTGACCAGGTTAGTAAGTGGGATTTACAGTTTGATATGAGTAACTCAGTCTATAAATAACCTGGTACACTCGACCATTACCAAAAAAATGACACCAGTGAACCTTGGCAATGATTTTTGCTGTGTGAACTTGTTGGCTGGAGATTGAAATATATGGAAGATAATAGTTTGACCCTTATTGGCAGATGTGTCTAAAAAAGTTTTAATATTCAAGAGAATGTAACTTTTGACTGCATTAATTTGTAATTTAATATTTATGGGAAATTTGTGTTTAATGCTACATTTGCATGCTGTACTCATATCACACACTGATCTGAGTTGGTGCTTCCAATAGGTTTGATAATTGAAGGTCTAAAATCTGTTTGAAATATTCGGACAAAACCACAGCTCACTATATACCGTCTGCCGCAGCAGAGACTGTTCACAAAGTTTTTACAAATAATTGTTGGGATGACTGTTTATATGGGAATACCGCAGCAGCATTTACTGACTCATTCAGTAACTAGATATCCAGAGATGATCCAAAAAAATGAATGCAGTAGATTTAGAGAGGAAAATGTAATGCTGCCATGTATTTTATAAATTAAAAATTAAGTACAGTCTATAATATTTATGTAACATTTAGTGCTTCTAGCTAAAGGATGAAATTCAAAGATTAAATTGAATGATTACAGCTATTGGCTATTAACACAGAGCTGCAGCACATTGAGAAAATCATTCTTCAAGTCTGGACAATAGTGGCAAATCTAATGTTGGAATTAAATTTCATCCAGTGATATTTGACTGAATAATGTCACCCAATGAGTTAACTTCAGCTTCTAAATATTTGTGTTGTACCAATTCACAAATACAAAAGCAGCTGAGGCTACCTGTGTGCAGTCTTACACATTCACAATTTTGAGGTGAGGGCAGGATATTTACGTGAGATTTGAGGAAAATTCTTTGCACCCAGAGAGTGGTGGGAATCTAGAATGCACTGCCTGGGAGGGCAGGAGAGGCAAAACCCCTCCCCATCTTTTAAAAAGTGTGTGGATAAGCACACAGAATCTTCTCACACTCAAGACTGTGGGCCAAGTGCTGAAAAGTGGGATTAGTGCAGATGGGTCAGCACAGACTTGATGCACCAAGGTGCCTTATCTGTGCCGTAGGACTCTGATGTTCAGTAATGTATGATTCTTTTGAGCTGGAATCTTCTGAAGCAACACTGTCTCGAGTTGGGACGACTTCTTTCCTGCATCCTTCAGCTCAAAAATCTTCTGTCCTGTAAGAAGCTGGAAGTGGGAGCTGGTAATGACAAATGGAATGCAACTGGGCACCTCAGAATTTGATAAATGATGGAACCAGACATCCAACTCCCTGCTTTTTAATACAATCACATTGATTGAACACTCCAATGCCTTTTACCCACCCCATCACACAACTCTACACGCCATGGAAAATCAGAAGTCTTATCGATCACCCCCTTAAACATATTCAACGATTAAGATTCTGCTCCCTTCTGTGGTGAAGAATTCCAAAAGCTCGCAACCCTCTGAGTTTAAAAAAAAAACTACTTCTCACTTGCACCCGAGGGCCATCAGCCCCTAAATTTTGACTGGTGGCCTCTGGTTCTAGACTTGCTAACCATGGGAACCATCTTGCCTGCATCTAACCTGCCTATCCCTTTCACACACTTTTGAGTTTCCAAGATCATCTCTCGTACTTAGAAACTCAAGAGAATACCGATCTATTTTACCCAATCTCTCTCCATAAGACAGTCCCGCCATCCCGGGAACAAGTCTAGTTAGCCTTCACTGTGCTCCCTCTATGGCAATAATGTCTCTCCTGAGATGAGACCAAAACTGCCCACAGTACTCCAGGTGCAGTCTAACCCAGCTCCTATGTAATTGTAGCAAGAATTCACTCCTCCTGCACTCAAATCCTCTTCTGATAAAAGACTAACATACCATTAACCTTCCTATTAAGTTGCAGCACTAGCACCTATTAAGATGTTTGCTTTTATTTCCTAATCAAAATGCAGTTCATCAGTATATTACACTGAAATCAGGGTAATTGATTCATAGTTAGGAATGCTTAATCTTTCAAATCAGCTCTTTTTGAACAAACACTGTATATAGCAGTTTTATTAATTTATACTTCGCAAAACTATTCAGGTGCAATTAATTTTAACGACCAATACAGTTTTTGTGACTTGATATTTTCAAGCAGCTTTTCGGCAAAACAATATGAAGTTTGGACCAAGTTGATTAGTTAATGCAACTCGCAAATCTGATTATGTCTTGGTGTTTTTGTGCGCGCGCGTGCCTCTGTTTTTTGTGCATGTGCACCTGTGTATTTTACATTATTAGCGATTTGCACGTATGATGTGCAGCAATTTTAACAAAGTCTTATAATGTCTGAAATGTGAACTGCTCACGATACCCACTTTGGTTGTGACTGGCGTGTTTGATGGGCGGTTCTTCAAATACCATCCTCTTAATGAAAAGGAGAGTATATTTCTGAGTGATAGGTTGACAGTTGATTTGTTCAAAGTACAGATCAATCTGGATAAAATGAGAAGAAGGTATCGTTCATTTGTCATGAATTCTTCTGTTTGTACCTTAGCAGCACCAGAAGGCTGATTGTAAGGTGTGTTACAGTTGGTTCAGTGGTGTAAGTCATCTTAGGTCAATAATATTACTTGAAGGTGGTGAGGTAACCATTAATGAATAGTTGAATATTCAGGCCTAATGTACAGATATTTAGTGCTTTCTTTAAATAAAAGTATAAGAATTATGTTTAAAAGAAACCTTGACAAACTGTATTTTCAATTGAAAATACGGATTGGTGGAATAGTTATTACAGAGAAATGCAAGGTATGTTCTGTGGAAAGATGAGTGCCTTGGAGCAGAGGGTGTCAGTATTGAAAGGACAGAGCCACGTAACATCACTGACATCCAATCTCAGATACAACATCGCAGGCAATTAAATCTTCATCTTCTGATAGATAGGTTTATGGTTTAAAAGGCTGTTTATTTTCAGAATGTACTGGGATTACTCAGTGTTAAATTCCGTTGGAGAGATGAAATAGAACGAACAAAATCTCATCAAAAGGATTCAGCTAACATGTTAACCATTAGTGAGGCTTGAACAATTTGTGAAAGTCATTTTAACTCGAGCTTTTTCACTGGTGTCTGTTATTTTGTCTAACAAGCACAATCCTACTGACTAGTCCACTAATTTCTGTGATAGCTCCTTGAATTCCGTGGACAACTTGCACGTTAAAGAGCACAGTTACTGCAATTTTATTAGAAACTGGGTTGTTTTTCAGAATGGATCTAAAAACGCGGCAGTATGATAAGGTTTCAACAAATTAAAGGTGAACCTGGTGAGGATGGAGATCTGTAGAGTTCATTTAATTGTTCAGATTAAAATGCAGACACAGAGCAGTCTTTTAAAGTTAGAAGCTCATAACATTTTATATTAACCCTTAAGAACAGCATCTTCGCTTGGAATTGGAGAGGAAGTATTTACTTGAATTACTGTTTGTCAGTCGTAGGAATGTCAAGTGTGAATTTTCTGGTTGGATCAGGTTTTGAGATGGTGTACCAGAATTTTATGTCTGCATTAAACATTTGGAGTAAAAGAGAATGGAGATATTGGAATGGAATTGTGTGCTTATACCAAGTTTGCATTGTTTACAGACTTGACTATGTTCAGTAATTTTCTTTTAGGCCTTTTCTCCTGCTGGATTTCCTCCCTCCTGTTTTCCGTTCCCCTCTCCCTCTCCCGAAGGTTTTGACTCCTTCCTCATGTTTGCTAATAGCTGCTCTTTGGCATATGAAGCTGTTGGTCAACTGTTCTGCAGGGTGGGAAAGGAGATCATAGACGAACCTGATCTTGGGTTCTGCAAACAGCAACATAAGCTGACATCTATCAGGAGTCTTCAGGTGGTGATCGATACCTTGGCTGTTTAGCCCTCTTTCTCCTAAAGGCTCAGAATAGCATAGAGGTATCTGTACCTTGTGGTACATGACCAGGTAACTAAAATTCACTGAGTTATGTTGGATACATCTATATATTTTTTAATAAGCTTCCAAAGTGACAGTTAAGACCATATGTGGGAGCAAAGGTAGGCCATTCAGCCCATTGACTCTGGTCTTATGGTCTAGTGATAGTTTTGAACAAAAAATGCATTTAGCGATTGGTTAATTAAGGAGCACGTATTTATTTGGAATGTGTGTGATGCGGAGTAAAGTTTGCAATCAGTGTGCCTGTCTTTTTCAGTTTCAACCTTTTTATCCTTGGGCTTTGCCATCAATGGTCCTGCATTAACTGCCCCTGTAGCCTTCCTCTCCTCCCTTTCCTCTCTCTGAATCTTTTTTTTTTCTTCTGCCTTCCTTCCTCCAGCTGTAGTTTTGCACCGAGGTCAACTGCTGGGGTTCAGGGGTAAGTTAAAATTCAAGAGCTGACTGCTTCGTTTTGGCGATAAATCATTTTCTCCATCACACCCGACACATCCTGCTTGCTTTTCATTTGTCAAGGTGTGAATTGTGCACTCATGTTTTTGTGACGTGTTCTCATACAAACCAAACCAGTACATCTTGCGTTATTATTTTTAACCTTGTGGCCGGGGATGGTGGAAAATCAAAGCCTTTCTTCCTCCGAATTGAAATTGAAATTGAATTTGTTTTGTCTTATGGCTCATGCAGAAAATGTGAACAAATTCTTTTTGGGAAAATGTTTCCAGTAAATGCAACCTGTCTCAGCCAGAGCCTTTTTTGATTCGCGTGTTATTATTGATCCTGATACTGACTCATAAAGGCTTCAATTGAAGTGAAATTAGTCAAAATTAGGAAGTGGTTTTTCAGTTCATTCTGATCTATTTAATGTTGGAAACTACAGTGCTATTGTAGTTATTGATGATATTACAAATATTCCTTAAAAAATGGAGAAGAAACCAAATACCAGACTCCGTTTGATATCTCCAAGAGGTTCAGAAAGCCATTTTTCTCAGTAAAGTGCTGACAGCCAAATAGGATGTTAGTGTTGGCCAGAGGATTCCAGCCATGGAAGGAGAGTGGATATGTTGTAATGTGCACTTTTCCCAATCATAGATTATAAAAGGGGAGGTGATGGCCTGGTGATTAGACTATTAATCCAGAGACCAACGTTATGCTCTGGGGACCTGGATTCAAATCCCAGATGGTGGAATTTGAATTCATAAAAATGTGGAATTGAGAGTCTAATTGTCAGGAAAATCTCATTTGGGTTCACAAATGCCCTTTTAGGGAAGAAACTGCCACCCGGTCTGGTCAAAATGTGACTCCAGACCCACTGTAATGTGGCTGACCCTTAACTGGTCTCCAGGCAATTCAAAAATAGTAAGAATTGCTGATGCTGAAGTCAGAGATAACACAGTATGGAGCTGGAGGAGCACAGCAGGCCAGGCAGCATCAGAGGAGCAGGAAAGTTGATGTTTCAGATTTCTGAAGAAGGGTCCCGACCCGAAACGTCAGCTTTCCTGCTGTTCCTTGCTGCCTGACCTGCTGTGTTCCTTCAGCTCCAAACTGTGTTGTCCAGGCAATTAAGGATGGGCAATAACTGCTGACCTTGTCAGTGATACCTGCATCCTGTGAACAAATAAACTAAATTAACAATGTGTCCGAGCTTGTAACAGGATAGAGGTCGGAGTTAAGCGTGATTGATGTTTGAATTCACTGGCCTTTTACTCGTGTATGTAGTTTTCTCGAGGCTGCGGTGCCCCTGCTTAAACAGAAGCTCTCTGTCTAGGTGGGTGGCCAGCAGTGATAGTGCCCTGGACACCCCAGTACACCACCAGTAACCAGTTTAGGGTAGCACCAGCAGCAGCCTTGAAATAAAGTCATTGGCTTTGAGCTGTTCTGTGGACAGAATAGTGCGTTCGGTTTAAAGAAAAGGCCGTAAGTAAAGCCATTTCATCCTCTTGACTTGGCTGGATGCACCTTCATGACTGAATAGGAGTAGAGTCATCGAGTCATGCAGCATGGAAACAGACCCTTCGGTCCAACTCGTCCATGCCGACCAGATATCCTAAATTAATCTAGTCCCATTTGCCGGCATTTGGTCCGTATCCCTCCTAAACCCTTCCTATTCATATACCCATCCAGTTGCCTTTTAAATATTGTAATTGTACCAGCTTCCACCATTTCTTCTGGCAGTTCATTCCGTACAGGCACCACCCTCTGTGTGAAAAAGTTGCCCCTTAAGTCCCTTTTAACTCTTTCCACCCCCTCACCTTAAACTTATGCCTTCTAGTTTTGGGCTTCCCTACCCTGGGGAAAAGACCTTGTCAATTCACCCTGTCCGTGCTCCTCATGATTTTATAAACATCTATAAGGTCATCCCTGAGCCACTGACGCTACATGGAAAACAGCCCCAGCTTATTCAGCCTCTCCCTATAGCTCAAACCCTTCAACCCTGGCAACATCCTTGCACATCTTTTCTGCAACCTTTCAATTTTAACAACATCTTTCCTATAGCAGGGAGGCCAGAGTACCCTGTGTGCCATCTCTCTCCTGCTTTAATTCAGTCACTTTTCTGGATCCTGTATTTCATTTTCCCGTCCAGACAAAATTGTTGGTAATTCAGACAGCCTTTCCCCACCAAATGAGTAGTAGACCTATTGGATATGATTTTGCTCTGTTGCTATTTCTTAAAAGGATACAACAAGGGGAAGCCTGTTTTCATATTTATGCTGTCAGATTATTGAAAGCTAGAAGAAAAACAAAGTTGCTGGAAAAGCTCAGCAGGTCTGGCAGCATCTGTGAAGGAAAAAACAGAGTTAATGTTTCTGGTCCGGTGACCCTTCCTCAGAACGTTCTGAGGATGCTGCCAGATCTGCTGAGCTTTTCCAGCAACTTTGTTTTTGTTCTTAATTTACAGCATCCACAGTTCTTTCGGTTTTTATTGAAAGCCAGAACTGGCTACAACAGTTTGCATTTATTAGACGCTTATACCGTAGTGAAATGCCCCCTGGATCTTTATAAGAGGGCTGTGCAATAAATGTGAGACTAAGCCACATCAGGAGGTCTTAAGACAGCTGACCAAATATTTGTTCAAAGAGGTACAAAGTAAATAGTGTCTTAAAGCTGTAGAGTGTTGGAGAGAATTATGGAGGGACTTCCAACGTTCTGGGCCTATCCACACAGAAAAACAGATGCCAGTGGTTGTGAACAAAAGGTGAAAATTGGAGGAACACAGAGATCTTATCGGACTAGATTGTTTTTTTTTTTTTAAATTCACTCGTGGGACATGGGTGTCCTTGGACGGGCTTGCATTTGTTACCCGACCCCAGTTGGCCTTGAGAAGGTCGTGGTGGTGTTGGTGAGCTGCCTTTTTGAACTGTAGACCCACTAGGGACAGAATTCCAGATAACACAAATAAGGAGTGATTTTTAAAAACTAGGATGAGAATTTTAAAGTTAAGGCATTTCTGGAATGAGCACAAGAATAATTGACGAACAGGCCTTGGTACAGATTAGGATAAGAGAGCAGACGTTTGGCTGAGCTAATGTTTCTGTCATGTGGAAGGTGGCAAGCTGACCAAGAGAGCATTGGAATAGTCTAGAAATACTGAAGGCATGGATGAGGGCTTCAGCAGCAGATAAGCTGAGACAGGGCTGGAATCGGACACAAAAGCAGAAGTTGCTGGAAAAGCTCAGCGGGTCTGGCAGCATCTGTGAAGAAAAAATTGGAGTTAACGTTTCGTGTCTGGTGACCCTTCCTCAGAACTGGAGTCGGACCATGTTACAGAGGTCGAAGTAGGTAGTCGTTGTGAAGAAGTGAAAGTGGGGTTGAAAGCTCATCTCCAGGAAAGAGGGATGGTGTTGGTGGCTATGGAATGCAGTGTGTGTTGGGAACCGAAGGCAGTGATTTCGGTGTCTCCAATATGTAGTTGAAGGGAATCCCCCAGCACTGGTAATGGGTATTGGGCAAGTAGTGTGGCAGTGGAGAGGTTGTGAGAAGTGGTGGTGGTGGCATAGTCACATATTATCAACAGATGTTTTGAACAGTGTTGCTGAAGGAAACCATTTAGATGCAAACAAAGGAAGGAGCCAAGGAAAATACACCCTCTTGTGGTTAAAACTGTTTCCATTGTGTAGAGAGACCTGCAGGTAGATTAAATGGTGGCCATATATGATGCATTAAGTGATAGTTTTGTTAAATCATACGGCACTTGAATTTCTTCCTGCGTCTCATTCTCCATGCTGGGTTAACAGTGTGTTTTTGGGTAAGGTACAAATAGAAGAGGAGAGCTTCTCTTGAAAGTGAACATTAGTCTGTGATGACTAGCTGCTGTTTGTAGGCCCAACAGCAATGCAGGAAGAGGCTTGTGAACAGTTCCCCTCACTGCCTTGATGAATAAAGGTCCAGATAGATTTATAAATGGCAGGAAGAATACCTGAGAAGCAAGGAATATGGCAGTAAAAAATGTTAATGAATGGATGGTTTAGGGCATTCACTCACTGAATTAGAAATCTAGTCGATGCCATTGAGCTCTTAAGGCAGTAATATTGCTTTCCCCATTATGAAGTTTGACGACTGTCTAGTCACCTTTTATCAGTGTACTGACACATTTTTCAATGCTACTCACAAAGCTACTGATGCATTATGCAGCCTTTTCTTTAACAATACTAATAAATCTATCATTAGAATGAGCCTTGAGTAGTCATAAAATGTGATCTTAGCCCTGTATTCTTGTGATTTGCATCTGAACTCCATAATAATAGGTTTTGCTTAAAAAGGAAACCTTGGAGTTTTGTTGTGTGTGATACTTTTCCCACTACAATCTCTGGGAGATGCTTCCTTTGTGTGAGAGAACTTTAGTCCACGACTTCACAGTGACCTTTTCTCTTCAATCGCTCAATTTTCAGAGAATTTTGCTTTTTTCCTACCTCCTCCAGAATCCCAATGAGGTAACTTTATTTAACCAGCAGCTGCAGTTCCTCTCTCTGCACAGATTTATGTTGTTGCCTTTTTGATTTTATCTTTCCCCGTGGGCAGAATATCATCTTGGATCCGTGAGGCAGTGCAGTTGCCCCAGGGTCAGAAGGTTGTGGGTTGACTGAACCCCAATATCAGTGTTTGACCTCGTGATCATTGAAAGCGGACATGTACTGATACTGATACTGTCTATTGTGGAACAGATGGGACTGCTGCATTATCATTCATGCTATAATTTATTTTAAAGGCATTAGGCCAAGATTCTATCTTGGCAGAAAAATGAGAAACTCTGTTGTCAAAAAAAATGTATTTAAAAGGCCACGTTAGAACAGCTGTAATTGGATAGGCCTGTGGTCTTCAGCAGTGGCCACGTTAACCCACAATTCCCTGTACGCTTGCCAATATGATGTACATTTGATGTCAGGATTGGTTCCTGAACTCTTACCTACAAGACTACATTCTGGTCTGGTCAGAAACTTTGAAAGGTTCTTTCCATGGCGCAGGAGGGAATAGGTTTATATACGCCATGCTGCCTATGCTCAGTACAACGTTTCCCACATGGCATAATACCGGGAGAAGAGAGGGCTGATGGTGGGGTAAAGGCCAGAGTTTAGGGGGCAAGCAGATTTGCTGGCCACATATACTGCACAAACTCTGCTGGTGTTGGCTGAGGGAACCCATCCTAGTTCTGGTGTTACTGCATTTTAAGGTTCAATAGTGTTTTCAAAAGGGGACATCTCCAAACTTCAGGAAACAATTGGATTGTTTAAGGGTTTCTATCACTTTATCAAGTGCAGTTTTTTGTGAAGCAGATTGGTAGTGCAGGTTTTTGTACTTTCCCAGGCTCGCTTATTAATCCCGAGAAGATACTAGAGCATCGAAATGGATAGCGTTTGTGCTTTACGCTGTATTTTATCAAAGACTTTCCCAGAAATATTTCCCAGATACTATCACTGCCTCCATTCCCCATGACTCCCTCCCCAATATTATAGGAACAATTAACACTGCCACTTTCAAGTGTTCAGGCAATTGTATTTCTGAGACTCCCTTAACATGTGCCAAGGATAAAGGAGATTTGACAAACCGGTGTCCATGCAAAGTTTGGAGATGTTTCCTCAGCTGACTGCATGCAGTGCTGAATAAGGAGTGATAGCTGTTTTGAAGTTGCTGCTGAGCACCAAGGGTTTTCTGGGGATTTTCTGCCATCTGTTTGCATGTTGCATGTTTAGTGTGTGAGCTGTGCTGTTTTAGATCACTTTGTGTTTAACACTACAGTGAAACCTGTATATTACAATGTTCTTGAGACAGAATTTATTGAATCAATTAGTAAAGATAGTTACCATTAATTTACTTACGGCATTTTCCTGGTAATGCATCTGTTGTTTACTTACTGCATTTAACATAATTTTACTGATGGATTAAATTAATAAACTTCAAAATGCCTGTTATAACCAAATCTGATTCTATGTTTACACCAATTCTAGTCCTACTCCAAGCAGCAAACATTCTCACCGATACGTCCCTGTCCATTAACCAAATTTCTGTCCATATTGCTACAATTCCTCCTATCCTCATGTCTGAATTTTTCTAACAAGCATTTTGTCAGACACCGTTATCGAAACCCTTCTGAAAACTCCCACTATCCACCATTTTTGTAAGGAACTAACCAATCAGTGGAGGGGATGGTTGGTTAGCTCGGTTGGCTGGAAGGCTGGTTGGTGATGCAGAGTGACGCCAACTGCATAGGTTCAGTTCCTGCACTGGCTGAGGTTACTGTGAAGGTCTCTCCTTCTCAACCTCTTCCCCTTGCTTGAGGAATGGTGACCCTCAGGTTAAACCAATCTCCCTGATGAGAGAGTAGCCCTATGGTCTGGTAAAACTACAAGTCTTTAGACTAACGAGTTGCTCAGTTTATCCTACAGTCCTGTCTTGAACATGCATGTTGCATTGGCTGCTGCCTAATCGCACAGTGCTATCTTCCAGTTTAAGGGGAATTGGAACAATTACAGATTGGTGTTTACAGCTCCATTGACTTCTTAGACAGCACCTTCCAAACTCATGACCCTGCCATCTAGAAGGACAAGGGCAGCCAACACAGGAACACCACCATGTGCAAGTTCCCCTTCATGGCACTCACCATCCTGACTAGGAAATATATTGCTGTTCCTTCAGTGTCACGGGGTCAAAATCCTGGAATTCCCTCCCTAAGAGCATTGTGGGTCAACCCACAGCACATGGACTGCAACGGTTCAAGAAGGCAGCTCACCTGCACCCTCTCAAGGGGCAACTAGGGACGAGCAAGAAATGGTCCAGCCAGCCACGTCCACATTTTCTGAATGAACTAAAACAAAATCATTACTACAGGTTGTCTGTTTTTGACGTACCATTTATGTTGGCGAAAGAGTAGCTGAATGTTCCAGAATTCTAGATTTGAAATGGAACCCATTCAGTATTCCCGTGAACTGGCAGTCAGGCACGCTGTGAGTGGTTTATATTTCAACAATTGAGTTATGAAAACAGGTTTCATTGTACTGTGTGAGCCTGTCGTGTTCTCAACTTTGCAAAAACTTAGCTCCTAAATTGGTCTTCCTGTTGTTGCAGCCAATAAGACCTCACCAACCGGCAGCGAAGGAAACCGTCCTGGCGGAGTGATTCGTGTGTATGCTGATGAGAGCAGTGACAAGGCTTCCATTGGCAGCTTCATCCCATATTGTTCTATGGCTCAAGCCCAGCTCTGTTTCCATGGACATCGGGATGCAGTCAAATTCTTTGCGTCTGTACCAGGTAAAGTACCTTGACCAAGGGACAGTTCTTTCTCTATGGCCTAGAGGGATTTAGGGTTCTTGTGCATAAATCACTAAAGGCTAGTATCGGAGTTCACTGGATAGTAGGGAAGATGAATGGAATGTTGGCCTTTATTTCAAAGGGAATGGAGTGTAGAAGGTGGGAAGTCTTGTTAAAACTATACAGCTGGAATTCTGTGAACTGTTTTGGGCCCCTTATCAGAGGAAAGATACTGGTATTGGAGGCAGTCCAGAGAAGGCTCAATCGGCTGATACCAGGCCCGGAGGGACTGCCTTATAAAGAGAGTCGGAGTAGATTGGGCCTGTACTCACTGGAATATAGAAGAGTGAGAAATGACTTTATAGAAACATACAAGTTTCTTGGGAGACTTGACAGGGTAGATGCAGAAAGGTTGTTTCCCCTTTTGGGAGAGTCTAGAACTGGAGGGTACGAACCCCAAATAAGGGGTTGCCCATTTAAGACAGCAATGAGAAGGAATTTCTTCTGAGGGTAGTTAATCTGTGGAATTCTTTATCACAGAGGACTGTTGAGGCTTGTTCCTTAAGTATATTCAAGGCTAAAATAGACAGATTTTTGAGTGAGGGAATCAAGAAAGTGGGAAAAAGGCAGGAAGGCGGAGTTGAGGATTATTAGATCAGCCATGTTCTTGAATAGCAGAACAGACTCAATGGGCTGAATGGCCTGTTTCTGCTCCTGCATCTGATCGTCTTACGGTCTTTTCATTGTGATGGCCACAGCTTGTAATATCCATGAACTTTTTTTTTTAAGTACTCTGTTCCTTTTGCCTTCTGTTCCCATGGGAAAGCGGAGTCAGTGAAAACTGAATACACGGTGTGATTGATAATGTTCTGATATTTTTCATTTACTCCCTCACCCAAACGCTGTCCCAATCTCGGGTGGGTAATTCGGGGGCCTATCCCTCTGCTAATTATCCTGCCCTGGGCATTTACAATCAGATCCTCACAGCCAGGTAGACAGGAGGCTGGAGATTTCTGGTGGTGTGCTCAGTTCTCATCTCACTGACCATTCAAAGCACACCAAGGAATTCAGCTTCACTATATTTCTGACCTGCAAAGTCTTGGGACATGAATTTCCCTTTCTGACTATCCTTCATTTGCCATGGGTTTATAATTGGGTGAGTTTGCTCTGGGCAGGATCTAGCTGCCTGTTCACCATCTCTGTAGTTGACTGCTGCACAAGAAGGTCCATGGGTGACCTTTGACCTGCTAGTGATGAAGGTCTTTAAGTGGTTAGTTAGTGACCCCCTTAAGGGCTTTAAATTGCCATCTCTTCAGACACCTCAGCAGGCAAGAATGGTTGCTAGTTTTCTGACAGCAAGGTGTGGCTCAGTGGTTAGCACTGCTGCCTCACAGCGCCAAGGATCTGGGTTCGATTCCAGCCTCGGGTGACTCTGTGTGGAGTTTGCACATACTCTCTGTGTCTGTGTGGGTTTCCTCTGGGTGCTCCGGTTTCCTCCCACAGTCCAAAGATGTGCAGGGTAGGTGGATTGGCCATGCTAAATTATCCTGTAGTGTGCAGGCTAGCTGAGTTAACTATGGTAAATGGGTTATGGGAATAGGGTGGGAATGCTCTTTCGAGGGTCGGTGCAAGTTTGATGGGCCAAATGGCCTTTATTTGCACTGTAGGGGTTCTATCATTTGTGGCAAATCCATGTGTTAGGATTGAAGGAAAAGCCTACAATCTCTGCAGTCTGGGAGCAATCATGGGCATGGATTGTGGAAACCAACTCCCTGACATTGCCCCCTGACCATCCTGTCCTAGTGAACCAGACTCTCTGATCGGATGATTTCTAAAATCAGTTTTCCTTTGGGTCACCCTTGGGGTTAACCTTAACCGGCAGATTTTAGGATCCAGACTTTGGTGACCTGGTGTCAAGGCACTGGAGAGGATGGGAATCCTACTCCTCATTTTTCCTGTTGGCTTTTAATGAGTTGATTAGTGTGTCATGCAGTCAGTCTTCCTGCTACTGAGGGGGTGGTGATAGAGAGTCAGTCACTACCTAACATACTCCCTCCCCTGGCACAAAAACAAATTCTGAACCATCTGTGACTGATGCCCAAATTAAGGATAAGCTATTTCTTTTAGTATGTATTTGAGAGTTGTACTTTTGGAATAAATTCAGTGCTGTTTGTGCCTTGCTCGTAGGTAATGTTCTGGCAACGTTGAATGGCAGTGTGTTGGACAGTCCCACAGAGAATCCAGGACCTACAGCTCCTCAGCAAGAGGAGAGGAAGCTGCATCCTGTTTTAGTGCTCAGTGGAGGAGAGGGCTACATTGACTTCAGGATTGGTAAGCCAAACCCGACTCCACAGAGAACCTCCACCTCTCAATTTGTTCTCGCCTTCCTGCTAACTCCTCTCACCCACACAATTAGATTGATTTTGCTAACTCATCCGGCACTGACCAGCTGCTCACTTTTTCCTGCCACCTATGCAGTTCTGACTGTCCCTCATATGCCATCATGCACATAACACATGCTAACATTCACATTTCCTCCTCCTTTGATTCACTTTTTTAAGCCTAGGTCTAATTATTATTGATATAAACACCAGGGCTACAACAGCAGGTCAGATGCTATGCTGCAGCAAGTAAATCACCTCCTCCTGACTTCCCAAAGCCTGTCCATCATCAACGAGGCACAAAGTCCGGAGTGTGATGGAATACTCCCCACTTCTCTGATAAGCAACAAACCCTAACAACTCCACACTATTCAGGACAGAGCAGCCCCCACTTGATTGGCACCACATCCACAGGCATCCACTCCCTCCACCACTGATTCTCAGTAGCAGCAGTGTGTGCTGTCTGCAAGATGCACTGCAGAAATTCACCAAGGCTCCTCAGGCAGCACCTTCCAAACCCCCGACCACTTCCATCTTCAAGGACAAGGGACAGCAGATACATGGGAACACCACCCCCTGCAAGTTGCCCTCCAAGCCACTCACCATCCTGACTTGGAAATACATCACCGTTCCTTCACTGTCGCTGGGTCAAAGTCCTGGAATTTCCTCCCTGAGGGTATTGTGGGTCGACTCTCAGCACGTGGACTGTAGCTCATCACCACCTTCTCACAGGCAACCTGTCCCATGAGTGAATGAAAGAAAGAAAGCTACAAATGACTATTGATAATGTCATCTTGGAATATGTGTATCAAATTTCTATCAATACTATTTGAACAGGGGGTAACTCATAATTTGCAGGCCATCATGATGTGTACTTTTGGAGTATCTTGTAGACTTGATATCAACATGAGAGTGCCTTGTTAACAGAGCTGCCACCTGCAAAGAAAGTATATTCTCCAGTGCCTACAATGCAGGTCCTTTTATTAATTGTTATCTTTAAACTAATGTGCAATTTGCATTTGTACTCTGTGGTAGAGGGAGATAGTATTGTATACATTTGTAATTGTTATATTGTGAATGACAGTAGTGTGGAAGTGGGTGTAAATTCAGTTTGCAATGAGCAGAAGTGTAGGTTAATCGCATTAATACCCTCCCATTGTTGAGTACATCTGTCTAAACCTCAGGCCTACAATGTCTATTTCTCATAAACTTAATATTACTATTGCTCATTGAGATTTAGTAAATTTGGCTTAATTGGCACTAACTTTCAGTACAGTTTTATGACTTGAATTGACAAGGAATTGGTTGAATCATGTTCAGACTTGAGACTGTCATTGAGAAGAGATGTAACTCTTTAAAAATCTACTTTTGTCCTCTGGATTATAGTTAGGCTCCAGCTCTCACCCTCAGCCTCCTTACTGGGGGCATGATAGCTCAGTGGTTAACACTGCTGCCTCACAGTGCTAGGAACACAGGTTTGCTTCCAACCTTGGGTGACTCTGTGGGGAGTTCTAACATTCTCCCCGTATCTGTGCGTGTTTCCTCTGGCTGCTCGGCTTTTCTGTAGGTGCTCCGGTTTCCTCCCACAATCCAGAGGTGTGTGGGTTGGGTGGATTGGCCATGTTAAATTGCTCATGGTATCCAGGGATGTGCAGGCTAGGTGGATTAGCCGTGGGAAATGCAGGATTACAGGGATAGGGTAGGCGGGTGCGTCTGAGTAAGATGCTCTTGGAGGGTCGGTGTGGATTCAATGGGCCGAATGACCTGCTTCCACACTGTAGGGATTCTATGATTATCCCCTTGTGTTCCTCTTTGTTCTGTACATATCAGTGTTTCACTCAGTAACTCTCTTTCTATATAGGCGATGGTGAAGATGATGAGACAGAGGAAAGTTTGCCAGATGGAATAAGACCGGCTCTCTCCAAGGCAGAACGAAGTCACATCATCGTCTGGCAGGTGTCCTATGTTCCTGAATGAGATGTTACTATCCACAAAACACATCATTAAACGCCTGCACTTCATCCGTATGTACATACAATATACCCTGCATTGTACCTGTCCATGAACAAAGCCTCTCAAAATCTATAAATCGTGTGGCATTTCGATCGTATCCCCACTTTGGACTGGTCGTTTGTTGAAAGTCCATCACCTTTTGAATTCAATTTAAAAACGAAGTGATATGAGAAAATCCTTGGGAATAGCTAACGCTGGAATACTTGTTTTGGACACCGAATCCCCATTTGCATTTCACCAAATTTGTTGCTGTTCCAAGCACATGTCTATATAATTAACCTGTTAAAACTTTGAACCGACTGTGCAAAGATGTGACCGTAATGCATGCCAGATGCTGGAGGAGGTAATTTCACAAGGCAACTTTTCCTATCTGTTCATATACACATCCTTTAAAAGTTTAATTGTGTTTCTAAGTAGGATTTAATTCCTATCTTTCATCAAACAAACTTTACATCCTCCCCCTAATGTTTTATTAAAAATTCACTACCAATAACGTTCACCATTAAATAGTCACCTGGAACAGTTACTCCACTCGATTGAGTTTTCCATGAGGTTCTGCTGTTGCAATGAAATCCAAAGGACAGGTGATGTAAGAGAGCTAGAAGGGCTGGATATGTTTTCAAAGACATCATTATGGGTCCCGTAATATGGAGCAATAGAGATGCAAAGACTGAGAATTGATGAGACGCTGTCTGTTTTGTCCAGGGATGTCGATGATGTTCCATAATGCACCCAAAGCAGTTTTTAGGTCACTTTGATCATAGATTGGAATGATGACAGCAAATTGGAACCCTCTCATTTTTAACTACCCCTCTGTTTACCTTTTAAAGGCAGTACCATTGAGAATGTTAGTTCTTTCTGGGAGAGGTTTATCTCCTTTTGAGATGGGCTTCCACACGTGGCTCTGAGAAATAAATTTCGACCACCATTCATTGTAGCTGTCAGCGTTCTAGTTGACACTCTTCAGGATTTGGTGGAGCGTGCTATTACCTGTGTTAATGTGTAACTATTACTGACCAGAGATAGGAAACTATGGAATTTCAAAGGGATGCATTCATTTCAGAATGTCATTGAGTTCTGCAAAAATTCTGGAGCAAAATGAGAGGGTTTTAAAAATGGCTGTCACTTTCAATTAACCATTTTAATCAGAGTATTTTTTTTCCATGATATACATCTCTTTGTATTTTAAGTAGTTATATATTGGGTTATATTTTGGGAACGAGAATTAGTCTTGGAGATCTGTGGTGGCAATGAAATAAAATCAAGGACTCGGACACAGGCTATACCATTTTCTGGAAAAGTATCTTTGCTTTTCAGATCCATGGATAGGTAGCTGTAGATTATGTGCAAGACTGTAGCAAATTATCTCAAGGACACCTTGGCCTTGGGCCCGCTGGATGGAACGTGTAGAAAGACATTTCAGTATTCATCAGCAACCTATGTCAGCTACATTTTCATCATGTCACAGAAATATTCATGATGTATATTCATGGTGTTCCAGTATTGAGTGAGATACCTTATGCTTTGAAGTTTCTCTTTACTTGCGCCCAGTTGTCCTTTTAAAAAGTAAGTGTCTTGAGAAAAAGGACAGCAAATCTAAAAGGGGTTTTGGATAGTGCAGACTGGCGAAGGCAATGATTACATACTGTGGCTCATACTAAGGTATTCAGTATTACTTCCTAAGTTATCCACAAGCAGTCCTTGCTACTCTGACCAGTAGTTTTAGTACTTAGCTAGTTCTGGATACAAAAAACTTTTGTATAGGTCTTGTCATCTTTCTCAAGTTAAATCAATTGAAAAGCATATAAAAAGTGCAAATTTAGAACTGTTTGTTAGCAAAGAAGAAAAAGGATTCAAGGGAATAAATGGCATTTTCTTGTCTTTGTTCGCACCCTTAAATGGGATGAGTTAGATGGTGCGACACCTGGGGAGGAAGCAATGGAACAGAATTTGAGCAGGTGATTGCTGGCCGGTGCACTGGTGGCACCACTGGAGAAGGGTACATTCATTCTTCTGGGGCAAAGGACAGTACAGCAGCGGTAAATATTTAGGAGATGACGTGGAGCAAGTTTGAAACTCAAAGCACTTAATTGTGTTCGAAACGGACACTTAGTTTTATCAGTTCCTGTCTGAGCCATATGGGAATGCTGAGAATTACTAATAAGAATTGAGTGACTGTTATGTTCAGCAGACAACGTCAGTGGGTATATCTGAGTCAGCTGCACAAGGGTATAGATAGGAAAACTTTTGAGTGTGGATTTACAGAGATTTTCTTTTAACGTGACCATGTACATATCCTGGAATACATGTTTTAAATGTTGTTAGTGAATTCAAAACCTTTACAATCAGTAATTCTTCAGTATAGATATACAAGTTCATATAACGCACCACCCTCGGAGTATTCCACACCTACACCTTTCTTCCTTGATGTACTGTGGGTCATTTTGACCAAGGAGCAGGAAGAAAGCTGATCAGTTCAGTCAGTTCTATTATTCTGACCAAGATGCAAAGTAAGAGGGAGTAAATTTTGAATGTAGTTGACTGTCAAGTTTGGAAATGGAGCTCAGAGGGGAAACAAAATCCTGGCAGTGACTGGAGGTAATGTGCCAGCTGTTCTTCAGTGAAATCTGCATCCAAGGCAAGACATAATAATCAACATATTGGTTTGGAAATCATCAGGGATCTGCTTTTATCCTCTGGCTACGTGAGTGCATTATGTTTGCAACTTATACTCGGCTCCCCTCTTGAGTAGGTGATAATTTTTCAGGGTCCATAGATTTTTGCTCTTCTGGGCATTCAGAATGTCCTCTGCCAGTAGAAATTTGAGGTTTTTCTCATGTCATGTAAAGTATCTCTTGTGTATTACATACTCGGGAGCAAGAGATTCTGCAGTGTAAACTCGAGAGTCCTGTACAAAAAGCTGTCTGGTGTATAATGAAAAGGTCGGGTTGGGTGTACAGAGAGGGTTGGCTGGTGTAAGGATATGTTCTGAGCTATTTTCCCTGTGCATTGTAATTAACTTAATTAACATGTAATTGTTCCATATGTAATAAACATACTCACATCATAAGATTATCTCATTTGTATTTATTAGCCAAATGGAACATAGGTCACATTTGAAATTTTCATTTGTTTTAGCTTGAAACTGTCTCTGGACAGAAGAAACATTAGCAATGTATACGTGCATGGTTCTTTGGCACGAAGTCCTGATCAGGAGTGGTGGGTGTTACTAATGCAGGACATGGTGTCTTTTTGGCAAATACCAGTTTACTGAAATTACCTTCTGACACTTGTGTTGGCCGGTGCTAGAGTTTTTCCTACTTCATGTAGTTCCTATACAGATTTTTTAAAAAATAGGTAAATAATATCAGTGAACCAGATAGTTTTTACAGTAATTAAATGATAATTGTTAGTGTCACTGAAAATAGCCTAATCTTTCAGATTTATTAATTGAATTTAAATCTCACCAACTATTGCAGCAGGATTTGGCCACCTCCCTGGAGCATTAGCCTGACCTCTGGATTATCAGTCCCTTTATATTGCCACTACAGCATCATCTCCCCTGTTAAACTACCAGCAGCATAGATGTAAACTGTACCCTTCATAAACAGGTGCATTCCAACCTCACCAGAGAGAGCAGACATGGATTTACAAAGCATCTTTAATTTTAGTAATCGTTATCAAAATGCAAATTTCAAAAGCAGCATATGAAACTTTTTCATTGAAGTTTTTAAATTGCATCAACAAATGATACAAAAAGCTGAGAATTATTTTAGTTAACACACTAGTTAAGGTAGCAGTCTTGGTACCCAGTGGATAGCCTAATTCTGGGCCAGAATCTATGGGTTTGAGTCCCATGCTAGGACTTGCTGGCCCTGCAACATGCTTTTGTAATGTGGCCAAACCGGTTAATTATCAGCCTGTAAATCCTTCCAAAATGCCTAACAGCAGGCAATGAAACTGAGGGGGTCTGCTGGTCACCTGTTCTACAGTGTACTGTGGACCAGCCTGTAGCCATTCACGCTCTACAAACACAAACTAGTTAATATTCTGAGGCATTCAGAAGATGTGACCCTTTGGTGGAAGCACAGTGTGTTATAGTTGATCAACCTGTTCAGACATACTGTGACACACCGCTGAGGCAGGTGGGACCTGAATCTGCATTCCCTGGCTCAGAAGTAGGTAAGTAATTATGTGTTACATGATATGCAGAGAGTTTATCTCCAAGATTCTTGACAGACCAAACTATGGCTCTCATCATTGGAAGCAAGTGCAGGAATTGGGCATTTCCCCACAGATAAAGGATCGGTTAGAAACACAAGTGAATTGTTAAGATTCCAGCTTCAAATACCACTCCAATCAAGGCTGACACTCCAGTGCATTACAGAGGAAGCAATGCTCAGTTCTGCATGTTGCTTCTCCAGTTCATGTTTGTTTTTTATTCATTCACATCATGTGGGCTTCGCTGGCTAGGACAGTATTTATTACCCATCCCTAATTGTCACTGTGTTGCTGTGGGTCTGGAGTCACATATAGGCTACGTAAAGATGGCAGTTTCCTGACAATCAACAATGTTTTCATGGTCATCATTTGACTCTTAATTCCAGATTTTTTAAAAATTGAATTTAAATTCCACCATGTGCCATTGCAGATTTCGAACCTGCGACCCTAGACCATTACCTGTGTTTCTGGATTAATAGTCCAGCAATAAATCCACTAGGCTGTCACCTCTCCAGACTCTCTCTTCTGGATTTGCTGATGACAAGCTGGATTCTGTCACCAGCAAACACAGTAAGGAAACAGTGGAAGATGAGCTCCTTTATTGACTTTTGTCTTACCCAGGTAAAGAGCCTTTCTAATTGACCACCCCTGTCGGTGATACTACTTATTCATTTGTGGGATGTGGGTGTCACTGGTGGGCCAGCATTTATCGCCGATCCCTGGTTGCCCTTTAAGGTGGTGGTGAGATGCTTGTTTGAACCGCTGCAGTCCATGTGCTGTGAATTCACGCACAATGCTGTAAGGGATGGAATTCCAGGATTTTTGAACAGTGAAGGAATGGCAATATATTTCCAAGTCACGATGAACATAATACAATACAGTACAGGAATGGGCTCTTCAGTCTAAAATGTTGTGCCAAACATGATGCCAAATGAAACTAATCCCTTCTGTCTGCCATTGGTTCATATTCCTATATACCTTGCATATTCATGTGCTTATCTAATAGTCCCTTAAATGCCCCTATTGTGTCTGCCTCCACCACCATCCCAAGCAGTCTGTTCCAGACTTCTACCATCTGTGTGTAAAAAGAACTTCCCCCTTCTAACCTGAAATGTATGCCCATTAGTATTAGACATTTCAACTCAGGGTTGATGGTCATAATCTATACATCTCATAATTTTATAGACTTCTATCAAGTCTCCCCTCAGCCTGTGCCACTCAATAGAAAATAGCCCAAGTTTTTCTAGTTACTTTTAGTGCATACCCTCTGATCCAGGCAGCATCCTGGTAAACCTCTTCTGCACCCCCTCAAGCCTCCACATCCTTCCTGTAATGGGGTGACTAGAATTGAACTCAACACTCTAAAAATCCTGGCCTTATCAAAGTCTTAAAGCTGCAACGTGACATCCTGACACTTGTACTCTGTTCCCTGACCAATAAAGGAAAGTATGCCATAAGCCGCCTTTACCACCTTATCTACTTGCATGGCTGCTTTCAGGGAACTATGGACTTGAACCCCAAAGATCCTTCTGTATATTGATGCTGTTCAGAGTCCTGCCATTAACTGTATACTTTGCCTTCACACCTACCTGGATTAAACGCCATCTGCAATTTCTCCACCCATGTCTGCAACTGATCTATATCCTGCTGTAGCCTTTGATGACCTTCTACACTAGCCACGGCTCCACCAATTTTTGTATCGTCTGCAAACTTACTAATCCATACACCTATGTTTTCATCTAAGTCATTTATTTAAATCACAAACAGCAGAGGTCCCAGTATGGATCCCTACGGAACAACACCAGTCACAGACCTCCAGGCTGAAAAACGCCCTCTGTCTTTTATGGGCAAGTCACCGTGGATCCTATGCATCTTAGTCTTCTGGATGAACCTACCATGTGGGATCTTGTCAAAGGCCTTACTAAAATCCACGAAAACAACATCCACTGCTCTACCTTCAGTTGATCACCTTGTCACCACCTCAAAAAATTCAATCAAGTTAGTAAGACATGACCTGCCCTGCACAAAGCTATGCTGACCATCCCTATTTAGCCCATGTTTTTCTAAATGTGCATAAATCCTATCTCTAAGAATTCTTTCCAATAGCTTCCCAACCACTAACATGAGACTCAGTGGTCTGTAGTTTCCTGGATTATCCCTATTTCCCTCCTTGAACAGAAGGGCAACATTAGCTACTTGCCATTCCTCCAGGACCTCTCCAGTGGCTAGCAAGGATACAAAGATCTTGATCAAGGGGCCAGCAATCTCTTGTCTTGCCGCTCAATAACCTGGGGTAGATACCATCAGGCTCTGGGGACTTATCCATCTTAATACTTTTCAAGAGATCCAACACCACTTTTTTCTTGATCTCAAAGTGCCCTAGCACATTAGCATGCTCCACACAAATCTCACTATCCTCCATATCCTTCTGTGTGAATACTGATGCAAAGTACTCATTTAGGATCTCACCCACATGTTCCTTCCTTTATCTTTGAATGGTCCTACCTTCTCCCTAATTATCCTCTTGTTTTTAATGTATCTATAGGATACTTTGGTATTTTCTTTAACCCTACTTGCCAAGGTCATTTCATTGCCCCATCTTGCTTTCCTAACTCCTTGATTGATTACTTTCCATATGTTCCTCATGGGCCCTGTCTGATTTTAGCTTCCTAAACCTTACATATGTTTTTTTTTAAAAAACTAAACTCTCAACCTCCCTCATTATCCATGGGTCCCTTACATTGCCTCCTTACTGGAACATGCTGGTTTTGAACTCTCCCCAGCAGGTCTTTAAACAGTTCCCATGTCAAATGTGGACTTGCCTGATAACAGCTCCTCCCAATTAACATTCCCTTTTTGCTTAGTAATGACAATTTGCCTTCTCCCAATTTAGTACCTTCCTGCAAGGTCCTGAATTATCTTTGTTCATAGCTATCTTAAAACTTAAGTTGTGGTCACTATTACCAAAATGCTCTCCTATTGAAAGGTCAGCCACCTGGCCAGGCTCATTAGCCAATACAAGGTCCAGTATGCCCCCTTCTCTAATGGGGAGTGGCTTGAAGGTGGTGGTGCCCTTGTCCTTCTAGATGGAAGTGGTTGTGAGTTTGGAATGTGCTTTGGTGAATTTCTGCAGTGCATCTTGTAGATAGTACACACTGCTGACAACACCAAAACACCCACAAAGTGGTTATAGTAGGACGTTTGGGGGCAAACTTTCCTGTTGCCCCCTGTATACTTAAGCAGTGTTTAAATAGCTATCTGCCAATATTACCTTGATAGATTACATGCAGGATTAACAAAACGAACTACCTTTGTGAACTGGTGTATTTTTAATTTGTAAAAAAAAAGCAAATTTAGGTACATTGTGCTGATACTATAAGTTTTATATTTGCTTTGAAGTTTCCTGATACAGAAATCATGATTCATGCAAACTTGAGCTGACAAATAAATCTGCTTATTTTGGACACGCTGACAATTCAACAGATCCACGAACAGAAAAATACAAAAGTGTCAATTAAAATGGATGCTAGGAATAGATGAAACATTTTTTTCCTCCTCCCATCTGAATTGCTTACCCCATTTTACTTGCTGCTCTAACAATTACCAGACTAACCTACACAAGGTGGTTACCATGTGTTAGGAGAGAATCTCCTGCGCATTTACACAGGAGATGGGGAAAAGCCTTTCCTGCTCAAAAGGATCAAGAATGAGGGGGACAGATTTGAAGTGATTTTCAAAAGAAGCAAATATGAGGTGAGAAAAAACTTTTTCTCTGGAATAGAAGCGTGGTGGAGGCAGGTTGTACTGGGACATTTGATGTTTCCGTTTAAGTAGAAATAGTGTACAGGGAAAAGGCAGGAGATTCGCATTTAGCTATAACATTCATTGAAGAGCTGGCGTGCGCACACTATAACAACTGTGACAATACTTTTAGGCAGCTGGACCAGAGGTAGTGTCCTGCTTATTACAATGAATTTAAGCCAATTTTACAGCACCAAATATCAATATTTCAGTAATGACTAGATAGAGATAAAAATAAATACTCCACCAGATCGTGAACATTCCAATCAATCTGAATGATCATTCATTACACCCAACCCATGTGTTTTTAAACAGCAATGATAGAGTGCATTAAAAATAGTCTAAAGCACTATTAATTTCAAATAGCAAGAATCACATGATCCCTGCATTTAATTCAGACATTGCTGTCTCCAGAAGAACGGGCTTGTTTATGGAATACCACCCACTTACTTTTTTGCACACAGCCTGCTTAGTGCAGGACGCTCAATTAAGAGTGAAGGAATCTAGCATTTTCATACATTGATAAAATGATTGAATAGTACTTTACACCGAGTTGAAACAAGTTTGGTAACCAGGCTAAAAGTTCAAATAGAATTTGATTTGTAGATTATTTCCCTATTCTACATGATGAAATAGTTGATGACACAAGGCCATATAGTTTCTCCCTTCACGATCAGGGATTTAAATGCCTTTTGATTTCCACTTGAGCATGGTTAAGTTGGATGGCTCTCACTTCAGTATTACTGTGTCCATGTCACTTCTGTAACAGGTTAAAGATTCAGTTTAAAAGAACAGAAGTCAAACAGACAATGGTGAAAAATACAGAGGAGATCAGCATACGTGAAGACGAAAGACAAGCTCATGGTCCAGATGTAGAATCACCCAAAATACACCTTTACTTGGTAAATTTCAGTAAGATTCTTGTGCTTAATACAGCTGAATCCCTGCACAGAAGTAATGTATTTTTGACAGAACTTGCAGAGTGAAAGAAAAATTCAGTGGTCCAGAGATCTGGTGCAGTCACGGCATGCATGTTATAACGATGGCACTTCAGCATTGACGGGCTTCTTCCTGATTGAAGTCACAAAGGACTGGTTTACTCGTAAATCCAGTCAGCAGCACAGTCGTTCCAGCAGATTAGCTCCTCTGGCTGAAACCAGAGCGAGATTTCCCGTACAGCACTCGCCACCGAATCACTACCATGGATTACATTCCTGCATCACACAACAAAATCAATACACTGAGTTAAATGTTTTAGAGATTCAAACTGCATCCCAGAATTGTTACAATACAGAAGGAGGTCATTCTGCCCATCGAGTCTGCATCAGCTCTCCAGTGAGCCTTATTAATTAGAGCCATTCACCTGCTTTCTTCTATGTAACCTCGCATAGTTGGGCCCACGATTATTTGAACAGAAATGACCTTCCCTCCATCATAAGGTCAGATGTGGAGATGTTCACCAATGATTGCACAATGTTCAACACATTTGCAACTCGTCAGATACTAAGGCAGTCCATGTCCAAATGCAGCATGGTTTGGGCAATACTCAGGCTTGGGTTGACAAGGGGCAAGTAAAATTCGTGCCACAAAATGCCAGGCAATGACCGCCTCCAACAAGAGATGATCTAATCATCACCTCTTGACATCAATGGCATTGCCATCACTGAATCCCCCCACTATCCTGGGATTTCCACTTATCAATTGCCTGGATGACTGCAGCTGCAACTGCACTGAAGAAGCTCAACACCATGCAGGACCAAGCAGTCTCCTTGACTGGCACCAAATCCACAAACATCCACTCCCTCCACCACTGATGTTCAGCTGGGCTTACCACTGCTGGCCCAGGCAGCGACACCCATGTCCCACAAGAGAATAAAAAAAAAATCATTTAATAATCTGTTGAATGCCTCAATTGAACCTGCCTCCACTACATTTCCAGGCAGTGCATTCCAGGATCCCTCACCTGCTGTTGTGAAAAAGATTTTTCTCACATCACATTTGTTATGTTTGAAAATTGATTTAAATCTGTGTTTTCTTATTTTCAATCCTTTAACAAAAAGGAACTGTTTCTCCCCATTGACTCTTTCCAGCCCCTTCATGTATTTGAAAACTTGTATCAGAACTCCTCTTAGACTTCTTCTCTCCAATCAATTCTCGTAACTGAGGTGCCTTGAACTACCATATATATGCTCAAGTAAAAGTTGGTCTCATGTGAAAGTCGACTCCCTATTTTTGGCCAAAAGATCTGGAATTTTCCACATATCTCATGTAAAAGTCAACCCTCGTTCTTCACAGATAACAGAACAAGATTTTAGAGTTAAGGTATTATACTGTACATAAATGTTACGATGAGGAAATGAATTTTTTTTGTGCTATTGTGTTTTGAAATTTCTTCTTCATTTTGTGTAAAAATGCCCTCCAGATAAAACAAAAAATATACAGCAGTGTTTAAACCGAAAGTTATTGAAGTTGCAGAGAAGGCAAATAACTGTGTAGCAGCAAGAGAATTTTGTGTTTTAGAGAAACTGGAGAGAGACTGGAGAAAGGTATCGAACCAACTTCAGACAATGTCAAAACAAAAGTGTGCCAACAGAGGTAAACCTAGCAAATGGCCACAACTGGAGAAAAATGTTGCTCAGTACCTGAAAATTGTCAAAACGGAACATGTGTTAGTTGTGAAGCCATCCGAATACATACACAAAACGAATCAAAGAAGGATGGAATTTTGGATTTTAAGGCAAGTGCTGGATGGTGCACAAGGTTAATAAGAAGGCATGACTTATTAATCTGACAGAGAACTAAGAGTGCACAAAAGTTGCCTGCTGAACTAGAAGCTATTACAGAAACTACTGTAATTCATTGTTTTTTTTTTCTTTATTTGTTTAGAGATCAATTGGGTTTCTGCTAATGATACAGTATTTTGGACTGTAGCATGAATTTCAGCCCATCAAAAGTAGTATCCATGTAACAGTTGACCCCATAAATTTAACCTTAAAAAAGTCTTAAAAAATTCAACTTTTACATGAGCATATATGGTATACAAATACTCCAGGTGAGGTCTTGCTCTTGTACTCGATGACCCGATTAATAAAGCCTAGGTCACTGTATGCTTTATTTGCTGCTCTCTCTACCTGTGAGCCTCAGTGATTTGTGCTTACACCCAGGCGCCCCTGCTCCTGCATTCAGTTCCAAGGATCACAAAAGTTAAAAGAAAATTATATTCCTTCTATCTCCAGATCGTCCCTCATTTCAAACTACCAAGTTAAAATTAATGAAAGTAATGGACCCGGTATTTATTAATATTCAGTGGCAGTGCTTGAGAGTGTGAGGTGATGCTGCAGTTAGAGTGCTACTTGGATGGACTTGCTTGAGTGGATAGCTTTGGCTGTGTACTTTCTTCCTGATCATGCAGAAATGGGTTTCAACTACAGAATTCTTCCTGACTCAAAGCAGCCTGCCACTACCTGAAAACAATGATAATCGCTATTCTTGAAGAAACATCTCTCAATGCTGGGATACCCTGTGTGGGGTGTAAAGGAGTTTTTTTTTAAAATGGAGCACCTATCAAATCACTCAATTAATGAAGCCACTCTTTTGGGTAACTCAGAGGAGCACCCAATTATAATGGGATACCTTAACTGTACCTGCTAAAAGTCAAAATGTACTTGCAGGGGATCCAAAAAGCCAGCACAATTAGTCATTTCTCCAAATATTTGATATGATCCAGCCTTTTCACTGTACTCCTGTACTGGAGTCCACGTGACAATAAAGGATATTCTAATCTATTCTGTGGATCATGTGATCAGTTGAAAGTTTTCTATATGTCTGGACATTCACCGTCATCAACTTGAACTAACCCTTTCTGTACACTTGATGCTAGGCAGCCTGTTTATCATTCTCTGGTTTCTCTCACCTTTCTCAAATAATGCAGGAAGCCTATTTCAGCTTAAAAACAATGAACTGTTTAGCTATTTTAGAAGATATTAAATCAAATCCAAAGTGTGCATTCCATTCAACAAAGAATTATCCTCAATTTCTGCTAAAAAGTTTGAGATCAAGAAAACGCCCACCTGCCCACTTCAACACAGAAGTCTCCTCTGATAGTGCCTGGTGCAGAATCAGCAGGGTTGGTCTCTCCCATCATGGCCCGAGTGATTTTGACAACATCCAGTCCTTGCCATACCTGAAACAGTGAGGAAATAGAAGTCAGTAAACAGTGCAGTATTGTAAATAAATAAATAGGGAAATCAATTTCTCAATTAAAAGTTTCTGTGCTGACGAAGTGTTCCATCACAGTTGTGATTCAACAGACTAGTTGTAGCATAAAGATGAAGACAAGGAGTTTAGTTAATCAAAAGCATTTTGTAACACACCGTTCTAAATTAGATTCTGACAAACAGATGCTGGCTCTATAGCTGGCTAAGACAACAAGGTGCAGGGCTGGATGAACACAGCAGGCCAAGCAGCATCATAGGAGCAGAGAGGCTGACAACAAGGTGCAGGGCAACTTTGTCCAAAACATTCTATTCTGAAAACTGGTATTGAAGTGCAATAATCAACCCTTAATAAGGCAGCTGAAATAATGACTTACTTCTCTAATGATAAAATCTTACACTGTTGTTGTACAACTCAAGGTTAATATAATACCATTTATCAAATCCAGAATGTTTCTTCCCCTCTACACAATTTCTCACTTTGTACTTTTCTCTCAATATGCTGATATATGGGCCAAGTAATTCATTCTTAACAGGTCTGGACAATGAAAGTGAGCAAATCATGGAAGACATCACCCAGGCCTAACCCACTGTTCAATGAGCTTTTTTCCAACATGGATTATTTGATAGAGATCTGGGGCAAGAATCTCAACTAATTTTTTTACCTTCTGGCCAAGAATGCTGAGCAAATTATAAATTACAAAATCATTGCCATTCAATTCTTCTAAATACCAGAAAGTCACCTGCTGCTCATCTGTGCTAACCTGGGAACACTGTTCAAACTAGTTTGTACAAGTGGTGAAATCCAAAGATAGGAACTTTTCACGTTTATATTAGTGGAGGCATGGAAAAAATAATCAGCCAATTGTAGGAGTTACTTCATACAATCATAGAACCCCTAGAGTCTGGAAGCAGGTCATTTGGCCCAGTTAGTCCACACCGGCACTCTGAAGAGCACCCCAACAAGACCCATCCCCTACCTCTCCCTGTAACTCTGCATTTCCCATGACTAACCCACCTACACGGCACATCTCTGGACATTATGGGCAATTTAGCATAGCCAATCCGCCTAACCTGCGATAGGGTTAGGGTTAGGGTTAGACTGTGGAAGGAAGCTGGAACACCCAGAGGAAACCCATGCAGACATAGGGAGAAAAACAGTCACCTGAGGCTGGAGACGAACGTGGGTCCCTGGCAGTGTGAGGCAGCAGTGCTAACCACTGAGCCACCATGCTGTCTTGTTTTTAATAATTAGTCATTAAACAAATTGGGAGCACCTTTACCATCTGTTCCACTTGGTTTTCCCTCTTCTCCCTACCACAAAACTCACTTTCAGTTCCAAAGAGGTTTTATTTTTAGTTTTTAGTTTGTTATCAATGCTGTGGGATGGTTCTCTGCAAGGCATTTAATTTTATCATTCATTGTAAATACCTGTTTAAAACAAATGTATAACATGTTCTGCTATGTAGCTGTACCAAAAACCTTTAAAATCAGACACTGGAAGGGGATATTTTTTGAGGATTGCTGTTAGGGCACATGTAGATACTTCCTGTAATTATTAAAAGGTGCCCTTTAATTATTCAGATGAATTTGTTCATCGTTGTTCACAAAAGCTGCTCAAAAATAGACCAACTCTTTATTGCTTATCAATTTTTAATGTTCAATACAAGTGTTTCTACACTCAATATTATTGAATATTTAAGTCCTTTTTTCAAAAACTGAATTCAAATTCCACTATTTGCCATGGTGGGATTTGAACCCAGGTCCCCAGAATGTTACCTGGGTCTCTGGATAGCAGTCCTTCGATAATACCACAAGGCCATCACCTCCCCTATATAGTGCCAGATAAGAGGTTTAGAAAATACTACATGCTTTAACATACCATAGCGACCAAAGGGCCAGAGCTCATGTATTTCACCAATCCATTATAGAAAGGCCGGTCTTTGAGGTCAATGTAATGATCTTTTAGCAGGTTTTCTGAAGCCTACATAAAAAATGCACAGTGTACTATTACATATTAGTCCTATTCTGTTAAACATTGCAGTAAAATATAAAATTCACCTCAAATGTTTTGAGTGTTATAAAGTATATTCTTGAACAGCAGAGCAGCAAAGAGCAACAGTATTGTTGTATTCAGTACATCAAAATACTCCGTTTCTTTTCCCCCAAACTTTTTTATACAATCTACTTGATTTCTCTCCATGTGTAAGAACTGCCACTCATTGCCATGTCACACAAATTGAAACACTGTCTTTTGGAATGAATTCACTGAAGCATTTAAAGCTGGGAAATGCTTACGAAGAAGAGTACAGTGTTGTGCGAAACACAGTCCAAGTAGAATAATAGAATCCCTCCAGTGTGAAGCAGGCCATTCAGCCCATCAAGCCCACAGTGACCCTCAAAACAGCATCACACCCCATCTCTGTAACCCTGCATTTCCTATGGCAAAACCACCTGACCAACACATCCATGGACACTATCAGCAATTTAGCCTGGCCAATCCACCTAGTTATTAAAAACAATGAAATAAAAGTTATTTGTCCCATCATGGCAGCCTTCCCATAGAAGATGTGTAAACTATCCTTTTGTGGATGTGAGCCATTTACTTAAGCCATGGATTTAAAAAGTTCAATTTTTAAAAATTCATTCATGGGGACACAGGTGCTGTTGGCTGGGCCGTTGGTCATTGTCCATCCCTAGTTGCCCTGGAGAAAGTAGCGGAACATTGTCTTCTTAAACCATTGTAGTACTCGTGGTGTAGGTACATCCATAATGCTGTTAGGAGGAAGTTCCAAGATATTGACCCAGTGACAGTGAAGGAACAGTGATACAGTTCCAAGTTAGGATGGTGAGTGACTCAGAGGGGAACTTGCAGTTAGCGTTTTTCCCATGTATGTGCTGCCCATGTCCTCCTAGATGATGGAGGCTGTGGTGCGTTCGGAAGGTGCTGTTGAAGCCATAGTGAGTTACTGCAAGGCATCTGTAGACGATATGTAGTGCTGTGGCCTAGTGTTGAGTTTCTCTAGCATTGTGAAGTTGTACTCGTTCTGCCTCCAGATGGAAAAGGTAGATACTGAGAAATTTTTTTCTTTGACTGGAAAAGAGAAAGTTAACGCTGATTTCTCTCCACAGATGCTGCCAGAGCTTTTCCAGCAATTTCTATTTTTGTTTCTGATTTATGGCGTCTACAGTTCTTTCGGTTTTTATTTGGAGAATTGAGAACACGGGTCACAGTCTCACAATAAGGCATCAGCCATTTATAACTGAGACAAGAATAAATATGTTCACTCAAAGTGGGGTTGAATCTTTGAAATTCTCTACTCCCAGAAAGCTGTGCATGTTCACTGCCAAGTATTTTTTGGGTTCTAGAGGAATTAGGGGAAACGGGAATGATGCAAGAAAGCCGAGTGGAGATTGAACACCAGACAAAAACAAACTTAATAATGAAGTAAGCTCAGATTAAATGGCCTGTTGTTGCTCCTTTTCTTATATTCTTAGAAAGCAAACGTATTGACCATCATTCAGCTCAATAAGTCAGAAAATCAACATACCTTGATGAGAAACTTTGTTCACTTTAAATGATGCTGTTATTCTTGTGACCTATATTCATATAGAAGTAGCACCTACTTGTAGTAAACTACACATAGTTCACCAGATCAAGGAATAGTAAGTATTGTACCTGCAATATTTTCATTCCAACCAGTTTAAATCCTTTCTGCTCAAACCTCCGTATGATTTCTCCAACCAGACGACGCTGAACTCCATCTGGTTTGATAGCTACGAAAGTACGCTCATGTATCCCAGTAATTACTGAGAAGTAAACAGAAAATGCAGAAATTTGAAAAAATTCATACAATCACCTTTCACAAACCACGAGATAATCCAGGCTGCAGTACAATCAAGCAAACATGCAGTCAATGATATAATATGGTAAATGTGGCAGCCAATTTGCACACAGTCAGGTCTCACAAAGACTAATGTAATAATGTTTTAGTGAGATGAGGTTCAAGCTGCAAGAACAGTGTCTCATCTTCTGCTTGGGGACAATGCGGTCTCATGACTGAATATAGAGTTCAACAAACCCTGAACATCTCCTATGTCCTTTATCCACTCCTACGCCCCACGCCCTGTCATAACATGGGCTGTTTTCCACAGCCAACCCACTTTCACCTACTCACTGTCCCCAGTGTCAGCTTTTCTTCTTCCTTGGCTTACTATCAACCATCCCTTTATCTACCTAACTTTCCTTCTCTCTCTCTGGGCTCCAACTCCACCTATCTGCTCACTCTTTCCTATCCCCAATCCCATCATCAGCATAAATAGTAGCTAGGAAAAGGTAATATCAGTTGAGCAAGAGTCACTGGACCCAAAACATTGACTCTGCTTTCTCTCCACAGATGCTGCCAGATCCTGAGTTTCTCCAGCAATCTCTGTTTCTGTTTCAGATCCACAGCATTGTCAGTCCTTTGTTTCATTTTAAAGTTTTAGTGATGTTAGCCGAGAATAAATATTAGGCAGCATCAGGTACAACTCTAAAACAAAAGCAAAATATTAGATGCTGGAAATTTGAAATAAAAATAGCAAGTTTTTTCTGTTTCTAAGATGAGTCATACTGGACTCAAAATGTTAACACTCTGCCTCACATCACATATGCCATCAGACCTGTTCAGAGTTTCTGTTTTTATTTTTTATATCAGTGAGAACTCCCCTGTATCTCTCTGAAACACTTAGGTCCTACATTTAGCTGCGCTGGTAAATAGGGCGATGAAAGATGGCATCTCTGACAGTACTGCACTCCCACAGTACTAAGTTACAAACAGTGCAGCATTCCCTCAGTACTGCTCAAGCATCAGCTTAAACTTTGGTCTCAAGCCACTGTTAGGAGCCTTGAACTCATAAGATGAACTATAACTATTATACTTTGTCCACTGACAAATATTTGGTTGCCAACTATCACTTTTTTTAAACTGGCCTATTCTACATGTTGTGATTCAGATGAACAGAGATTAGGCCATTCAGCCTCTCAGGTCTGTTTGCTCAGCTATTCAAATAGGTCACATTTATCTGCCCGGGATCATGAACCTTTTATCTAGTTAGAAGCTAAACAGCTCAATTTTGAAAATTTCAATTTGAATTATATAGTTTTCACAGCACAGAGAAAGGCCCTACAATCCATCGCGTCCATGAAAGTCATAAAGCACCTCTCTAATTCCATTTCCAGCGCTTGTGTGCCATGACTTGTTAAGTGCTCATCTTCATACTTAAATGTCTTGTGAGTTCCTGCCTCAACCATCATTTTGGGAAGTGAGTTCCAACTAACCACTATGCTCTGGGTTAATTTTCTTTTCCTCTAAACCTTCTCCTCCTTATCTGATAGCTGTGCCCCTCTACTAAGGGAAAAGGTTTCTCCCTATCTATGTCCCTCATAACTTTGTACACCTCAGCCAGTACCCCTACGTCAGCCTTCTCTGCTCAAAGGAAAACTTGCCCAGACAATCTAACCTCTCTTCACAACTGAATTGTCCCAGTCTAGGTCCTGGTGAATCTCCATTGCACCCTCTCTAGTTCAATCACATCCTTCCTACAGTATGGTGACCAGAATTGCACACAGTACTCCCACTGTGGCTTAACTAATGTAATATGCAGCTCCATCATAACCTGTTCTGAGGGTTACTCAACCCAAAACATTAACTCTGACTTCTCTCCACAGGTGCTGCAAGACCTGCTGAGCTTTTACAGCAATTTCTGTTTTTGTTCCCTCATAACCTCCTTGCTGTTGCTCTCTCTAGTACAATCATATCCTAACTTTAGAAGCTTTCCCAGATTTACCAGCTTTTGTATAAAGGAGGGTTGCCTCTCATTACAGCGACCTTGAGTAGCCTGGCTGTACGTTTAAGGCTATGACAGATACTGGAAAGGCTATGGTCCTTGCTTGCTGTGCAGGTGAATTAATATAGTTCGTTATCCCTCAGTGGTGTACACACCCGGGACACTGCCCTCTCAGTGAGCTGGCTCTGCTCCTGCCCCGGCCTTCCCCCCAGTAGGTGTCGGCCCCTCAGCCCCGCTCTCACCCGACTGGAACAAGTAGGCAAAAGCGGTCAACGCCAGGCAGATCATCCCCACCGTCCCTGCGCCTTTTCCACCGGAAAAACAGGGAGACAAGGACAACCACGCTAACTCACAGGCTGGCGGTTTCCCCACCCTCCGCACAAACGGCGCGCAGATACCGAGAGCGCGCACGGCGTCGCCTGGGGGCGCGGTCCCGTTGATACCGCCACACCGAACGCCCCCCGGCGGCTGGGAGGAGTGCGGTCCCACTGATACCGCCACACTGAGGGCGCCTGGGTGTGCGGGAGGCGTGCGGTCCCTCTGATACCGCCACACCGACCGCCCCCCGGCGGCTGGGAGGAGTGCGGTCCCACTGATAGCGCCACACTGAGGGCCCCTGGGTGTAAAGGAGGAATGAGGTCCCACTGATACAGCCACACCGAGCGCCCCCCGGCGGCTGGGAGGAGTGAGGTCCCACTGATACAGCCACACCGAGCGCCCCCCGGCGGCTGGGAGGAGTGAGGGCCCACTGATACAGCCACACCGAGCGCCCCCTGGCGGCTGGGAGGAGTGCGGTCCCACTGGTACAGCCACACCGACCACCCCCCCGACGGCAGGGAGGAGTGAGGTCCCTCTGATACCGCCACACCGACCGCCCCCCGGCGGCTGGGAGGAGTGCGGTCACCCCCCCACCCCTCACCCAACCTTGGCGGGAATTCCAGTCGATGAAGTCAATGCTGCCGGTTGTCCGTCTGGAGACTGAATGAGCGGCGAGCGGTTTCCACGACTTGATTTAATTCTTTCGCACGTTTGTCCTCAAAGTCTCCCTCATCTCCTACACTTCCTAACAGGTTGGCGTCAAACTGTCTCGAGTTACTGGAACTTCAGAAAATTTAAGTGGGAATGTAAAAGTGTATAAACGTGTAGAACAATTTTTCCACCTAAATGCCTCTTGCTTCAGTGGTCTATCGATTTTTAGTGAATTTTCAGCACTCAGGACATGACAGAGTTGGTCCCTTCTGTTCCACATCAGGTTCTCTGAGGGTTGTGCAGGTTAAAACCCTAAAAAATACATAAAGAGGAGGTGAAGAGATTTTTTGCAATAACCGAGGATTTGTAGATTCGGTGGAGCTGGCATGAAAAGGTTGTTGAGGCCTGGTACCCTTCGGCCATAGTCCTGGTAGAATTTTATAGGTTTCTATGAGATACCCCCTCCTCCCGTCATTCTTCTAAACTCCAGAGAATGTAGCCCTAACTGACCCAACCTCTCTTCATATGTCAGTCCTACCATCCCTGGAATCAGTCCCCTCCATCACCAGGGCATCCTTCCTCCCATAAACGGAGCTGCGTCAGGACATTATTCAAACGAGCCACAACACCCTGCAGCAACCCGGAATTGGGCAAAGCGGAACAGGAGCACTCATACGGAGTTTTTAAAAGGAATGGATACCCAAAAAAGCACAATCAGCTGTTACCTCTGCGACAGACCACAATGAGAAGACACAGCACGACCAGGCAACTAGTCACCCTACCGTACATCAGAGAGCTATCAGGGATGACCACAAGACTACTCAGAACCTTAGATAAGGATGCATGGCATTAAGGGTAAAGTATTAGCATGGATAGAGGATTGGTTGACTAACAGGAAGCAAAGAGTGGGGATAAATGAGTGCTATTCTAGCTGGCAGTCAGTGACTGGTGGTGTGCCTCAGGGATCGGTGTTGGGACCGCAATTATTTACAATTTATATAGATGACTTGGAGCTGGGGACCACGTGTAGGGTGTCAAAGTTTGCAGATGACATTAAGATGAGTGACACAGCAAAGTGTGCAGAGGACTGTGAAACTTTGCAGAGGAACATAGATACATTGAGTGAGTGGACAAAGGTCTGGCAGATGGAATACAATGTAAATAAATGGAAGTCATACATTTTGGTAGGAGTAATAGTAAAAAGGATTATTACTTGAATGGTAAAAAGTTGCAGCATGCTGCTGTGCAGAGGGACCTGGGTGTCCTTGTGCATGAATCACAGAAGGTAGGTCTGCAGGTACAACAAGTAATTAGGAAGGCAAATGGAATTTTGTCCTTCATTGCTAAAGGGATTGAAATAAAAAGCAGAGAGGTTATGTTGCAGCTGTATGAGGTGCTGGTGAGGCCACACCTAGAGTACTGTGTGCAGTTTTGGTCTCCTTACTTGAGAAAGGATGTACTGGCACTGGAGGGGGTGCAAAGGAGGTTCACTAGGTTGATTCTGGAGTTGAGGGGGTTGGCTTATGAGGAGAGACTGAGTAGATTGGGATTATATTCATTGGAATTCAGAAGATTGAGGGGGGATCTTATAGAAACATATAAAATTATGAAGGGAATAGATAAGATAGAAGTAGAGAGGATGTTTCCACTGGCAGGTGAAGCTAGGACAAGAGGGCATAGCCTCAAGATTAGAGGAAGCAGATTTAGGACTGAACTGAGAAGGAATTTCTTCACCCAGAGGGTTGTTAATCTGTGGAATTCCTTGCCCAGTGAAGTAGTTGACGCTACTTCAGTAAAAGCTTTTTAAAAAAAGGTAGTTTTTTTTGAACAATAAAGGAATTAAGGGATACGGTGAGAATGCGGGTAAGTGGATCTGAGTCCACGAAAGAATCAGCCATGATCTTATTGAATGGCGGAGCAGGCTCGAAGGGCCAGACAGTGATACAAAATTAGGAAGTATTGTTGATAGTGAGGAAGGTTATCAAAAATTACAGCGGGATCTTGATCAGATGGGGAAGTGGGCTAAGGATTGGCAAATGCGATTCGGTACAGATGAGTGTGAGGTTTTGTGCTTTGGAAAGTCAAACCAAGGTAGAACTTATACAGTGAATGGTAAAGTCTTTAAGAGTGTTGTGGAACAGAGGGATCTAGGAGTACGAGGACATAGTTCATTGAAAGCAGTGGCACAGGTAGATAGGGTGGCGAAGAAGGCATTTAGCATGCTGGCCTTCATCGGTCAAGGCATTGAGTATAGGACTTGGGATGTTTGTTGCAGTTGTACAAGTCATTGGTGAGGCTGCACGTGGAGTATTGTGTACTGTTTTAGTCACCCTATTATAGGAAAGACACAGTTAAACTTGGAAGAGTGCAAAGAAGATTTATGAGGATATTGCCAGGACTAGTTATTCCTTGGAACATAGGAGAATGAGGGTGACCTTATTGAGGTGTATAAAATCATGAAGGGCATAGATAGGATGAAAACATATAATCTTTTCCCCAAGGATGGGGAATTGAAAACTAGAGGGCATATGTTTAAGGTGAGAGGGGAAAGATTTAAGAAGGTCCTGAGGGGCAACATCTTCATGGAGAGAGTAGTGCATATGTGGAATGGGCTGCCACAGAAAGTGGTTGAGGCAGGTACAGTAGCAGCATTTAAAAAACATTTGGATAGGTAAATGGATGGGAAGGGTTTAGAGGGATATGGACCAAATGCAGGCAACTGGAACTAGCTGAGTGGGTACCATGGTCAGCGTGGACCAATTTGGGCCAAAGGGCCTGTATCCATGCTCTATTACTGTATGACTCTATAACTCTTAAGACGCTGGCATCCCATCACCAATCATTCTTTACTTACGAATGCGTAACCTTTGACAATAGCACTGACTGTCATTGAGTTAGGCATTCAGCATCCCAATATCCTTGACATTTATCCTTTCATATCAGCCTGATTGAGGCTGTCAATCTGGTCCAATCAGGGAACTCGTATTCTATGAGGCCAACTGGGTTGACCTCATTACAATCATTACAGACAGCTTCAGAAAGTGAACTGAAAAATCATTTTCTATGCCTGTGGAACAACACATTGTGAAAACCACTTGTGTAATCTGGCCAGTTTTGTTATTTTCATTTATTTATTCCGTGACTGTGTTTGTTTGGCTGTTTGTCCATTTTTTCTGCAAATGGGACTGAAAACAAATATTTTGGGGTTTATAGCATAGATGAAATAAATTACAGCAAACTTTCCATTAAAGTTGGCGGCGGAGTAGTTATTCTGAGGCTGGGGCTCATCCACTCCCGTCAGTTTTCTTCTTCCCTTGTTGACACTTTTTTTTTCTTCTTCATTTTATTTTCCTTTGGGTATGGAGAATGGTGGATGAGGAAGGAGCTGTCTGATGGTGGCAACGAAAGCAGAACCGGGATGAACTGGACAGGGTTTCATCCTAACCTGGGGTCTCCTGGTAAGCAAGGCGCAGGTCCTGGTCTGACTCTCCAAGCCCGGACTCACAGGCTAGGCCGAGGATCCGTGTCCGCAACTGGGCTGGGGCATCTGAGGGAGGAGAGGTGGCAGTCTTGGCACAGCATGGTGGTCTCCAGGTGTAGCAGTCTTGTTCAGGCATTGTAGTCTTGTCCTGGTATGGAGGTCTTGTCCCCAGGTGGAGGTCTTCTTCGTCTTCAGCTTCCAGATAGTCTAGCAGCCTGGCTTCGTCCAAGAGTGGCGGTCTCTGCTGGGCATGGCAGTCTTTGGCAGAGGCTTCTGACCCAGTGTTCCTGTGGCCTGGCAACGCGGTCTTGTCCTGGCATGGCGGTCTTGTCCCGGAATGGCGGTCTCATCCCAGCCACGTCTTCAGGGTATTTCATCGCTCCTTAATTAGCTTTCCCCAAGCCCAGGAGCCATTAGCTAAACTGTGATGAACTTTGTTTTAATTTTGCATTTTTTTATTATTTAGTATGATGTCTGTCATTCATAAAGGTGCCAATGGTGGGGCAAGTTATAACATTTTTCACTGTATTTTTTATGTAAAAGAACACATGACAATAAAATTCTATTCTATTCTATTCGATTCTACCAATGGGACCAGGAGTGTGCCGTTGATCAAATATTCCGGTTCATCAAGAGGTTCACTTAATCATGTAAAAACACATGCTCAGTAATAGAAACATAATTTAGGGGGTCACATAATTTAGGGGGTATACACATCACTATTATACTTTATTTACACCATAAATCACTTAAATAATAATGCACCTTCACCTTAAATAAAACTTACCGGCAGACAGCCTCCTCACTTGCACCCTCAACTAATGCCCCAAGACGTCGCAGAAATTGGGATAATACAGTAAACCTCCAGTATTTGAGGCATATAGCTTTTGCCCGTTAATGAAGAGTGCTGGTTCATGAGAGGCCGGTTAAAACAAAGTTTGCTGTACTTTACTGTTTAATTTTGCTTGACTAAAGCTATCATATTGTTAATAAATTGCCAAGTCTTTCATTTAAGCTACAAACTGATGTCTAGAATTGATTACTTGTAAAGACTGGGATTGATTCTTCAAAAAATCTGGTTAGGAACCATTGGGGTCAATTTTGAAGATCTTTGAAAGTTTTAATTTTTCTTTATTGTGAATAGAGAGTTAGAAAGGCTGACTTAGTTTGTCTGTCTATGTCTGTGTTGTAACACTACTGTCAATTCAGATGCAATTAATTAATTTGAACTAGCCCAATTTAAGAATTAAGATTTGCAGTTGTTTATAATTGAGCAGTGCCAAAATGCCAGTGCATTTATTTTCTTGAATAGTAGACAATGCAGGAGGGTGTGCCAGGAGCAGTACAAGACTAACCAAAAATTAAGCATCACCCTGGGTGTAGCTACAAAGCACGATGATATGCATACCTTATATTCTAAGTAAGATGCAATGGATCAGATCTAAGCCTTGCACTTCTGCAATATCCACAAATGTTGGTGAACAATTAATTAACTGGATGAGGTGGTTACACAAATATCCCCATCCCCTTTCTCACTGTTTGAAAAGCCCAGCACATCAGTGTAAAAGACAAAGCTGAAGCATTTGCAACCATCTTAAAACACAGGTGCCAAGTGACAGG